ACTGACTGTAACAGCAGTCATCGACTTTTCAAACTGTGACTACAAGTTGGTCAATAGCTTCGCACAACGAAATCACGACCACTCTTCACTGTTATACTTCTGTACTTACGGTTAGTCTGTCAGATATAGATATAACTAGAATTCGACACTAATTAATAGCTGTCAACGACACTGTTCGACTTACAACTTTAAACTAATGACAGTACAAATATGGATATCGATTGATAATACACTTATCCTACTATCGCTATTGCATCATTACTCTTGCGGCAAACTTAACGTTTGTCATCGGAGGAACTGAATTACTTGTCAAGGCTATATATTTCAGCGCGACTTGATAGAACAATAAAACGTTTTGTTCTTTTCATTATTTCTATGGTTAATCAATTTACGTTTAAGCAACGTCCTACTAACATATTATGACTCGCTGTTTCCCGACCAGTTTCTGCCGCCTCCTTTCCATTTCTTTTACAGATAAGCAATACCTGGAGGATTTATAATATTCGTTTGGCACTCTCTGGCGCGAGACTGCTCCCAACATGTTTGGTACCGATTCAAACGGCCGTTGAATCTGGTGGGGGAGTATTGTAGGGCCAGTGAAATGTCACTGAGCCCTAGCCAAATCATCCGGCAGTTGGATCACTGAATGTCGAACAGATCATCGCTCCCTGCCAAGGTCATGTACAAGCAACGCGCATTAGTTAATCATACGCCATGGACTGGCTCATGCGGCAGTGGTCTTACTTTCGCTTGTATCTACCTTAACTAATATATTTCTGTAATAACGTCCTTTGTGTTGTACAGTCTCCAAAGCATCTATAGTACCTTGTTACGTCAATGGGGGTAGTCCACGTAAGGTGCTGACCACGAAATGTGACTTCGACGTTAGTTGGTTCGTCACACTATTCACGTCTAACTCGAGTAGGCCTCCAATCATTTCGACATAGATCATCTACGTTGGTGATTTACAGTCCCATCAAAAGAAAGCCAATACTCTTCTCTTTTTACTTAACGGAATCGTGATGTGCTTCTATCACCCTGCACAATCAAATCATAAGCAATTCAGAAAGGTATCATCGCCTATTTATGATATATTAAGATCAAAGTTAGGCATTTTTGATCTCAGTAAACTTGACAGTGACTTCATTCATGAAAAAATTTGACCACTGAAACTTACTGACATCTTCTTGAATCACTACTGAAAGGCGGTTGTTGTTGATAGGATACGTACGTTAATGGGATCATTTCACATAAACGAAACACAAGAGGAGTTTGTTTCATAAATACATTAATTTGGTACATTGGTTTCAGATTCATTTTAAATAACAAAATCAGTGATGAGTCTGTCTTATCATTGCAAAGGGGTTTGCTTTTCATGTTCCAGAGATTATTGAGCTGCTCAGTGGCTACGGAATGTCATGATATGATCCCTTAAGAGTCAGCGCTACGCCTTCTTCTCTTTTTAATTTATGTAAATGAAATGGGATGTGATTCGACTTCGATAACAATTTACTCTTAACATTTTAATGTGTAAGGTGTTTCGTTTGAGATATGTTGCAGACTGCACATACAAACAAGGTTATTCCCCTCTAGAGGTTACCTAGGTTGAAAAATATCTACTGGTCTCGGTGCTCTACGGTTAAAAGTCTCATAATAACTGCGATGGAAATGTCTTTTGAACAAATCTTACACTGCAACTGTGAAGCGTATTTTGACAGTAAGGCTTTCCAATTAGTCGTCGAAATTTTTATTTTGCTTCGTTTATAATACAGGAATGGCGCTTTTCCTCTTCCGCTCCAAACGGATATTTATACTTCTGTAAAGTGTGATCGGTGAACGGACTCTCCAGTGATGACATGGAACTCTCACCACCACATTAACTTCGTTTGATCTTGTATGACTACACCTTGTTTATTCACCAATCACAATTTTATGTCCATCGAAAAATAATGTTCGCTTTGTTGACATACTTTTCCTATCCTGTAGTTAGTCTTGAGTATGTTATTTATGACTCTCTGTTTCCCTGTTTAGTAGACTTTTGCTTATTTTATATACTAACGGTGTTAATTCGCGTTTTAGAAGTAGATAAAGTTTATCGACCCAGATAGCTTACTTGTCCTAACTTTGGCTAAGCTAAGACTCTGTGCTCGACAGTCTAGAGAATAGTTCGGAATTACACCTGTAAGAAATTACTGATTACAAATTTTCGAACAGTGAATTCGATATACTTACTGAACTGACTTCCAATAAGTATTACAGTTCTGATGAGATTTATGAGTTATTACCCCATCATCTGGGAGATTATGACGAAGACCAACTTGAAAATGATGGACCCAAAACCAGTGGCCTGATAGAACTTGAGTTAGCTAGGTTAGATATAACCCAATCGTAGGAAGAAATTGAACTAGAAAAGTTACGTCGCCAGGGAAGTGAAGGTTTCGACCAATCAGTAAGCAACGGCGAGAATGCAATATTAGAAAAGCTGTAATTACCAAAGAGAGAGAGATCTTGAAATTTGATGGTGCACCTTTACTTACTTACTTTCGCCTGTTACTCCTAATGGAGCATAGGCCGCCGACCAGCATTCTCCAGCCCATTAGAATGTTATAAAAAATTTCGAATAAAATGCATCCGGAGTGAGAATATTGGATTTAGAGCTAGGTTGAATTACTTGATTCAATACTGTGACGCGGAGATCGAGAGCCACTATCCATCATTGTACTATGCTTGAACCGGAGATAGGTCATCGTTATTCACTAAAGCACGCACGTTTATCGACAATTCGTTAAACCTTCGCGATATAAGAAAGAATCAACCAGGTGGTTCGAGAAGATTGTCTCGAGAAATGCAAGTGGTCTGACTCTCTGACTTTCTCTCTTCCAGAACTATTGAAACTATGATTCTGAAATTACAAACGCATGTTCAACAAAAGTGGCTAAAGGTAGCTTATAAGATTATCAGAGGAGGTCGAGAACCTCTGTTTTCTGATATTACTGAGTTTGTAAGGGAATAGTAACATTGGGGATACTGGTGGTTTAAATGTAAATATTGGTTCAGATTATAATGCAGCGAAGATATTGTATGTGAGTACTAGTGATGACGATGTTTCCTTACGTAGTTCATCTTGTTTGGAGGGCTCAAGGAATCATTCTTTAGATCGATGCCAGAAGTTTAAAGTTAAGAATGTTAGATTAAGTAAGAAATTTGTTCCTAGGCACAAGCTACGTAATGTTTGTTTGAAGGTAAACCATGTATCAAAACTGTCGATCGTCAAGAGCGTGCACAGTTGAAGGGTGTGGTTGGCGGCATCAGTCTAGAGGCAACATCCAAAAACTAGATGCACATCAAAGCCCACTTAACCGCAGGCACGCCTTCCATACTATGCGAGTAGCCAAACACTGGAACTATTTAGACCATTTGTATCAGATTATTTTGCATAGTAAAAAAAAACGAAGTTGCTAATTTGTCTAAGCATTCGATACCAACTCATTATGAAGGAAGAGGGTTCCTTTAAAACATATGTTTAGTGATATTGACCTGAAACGGGACACCCATATCCCCTTTTTTCTGGCAATCAGCCTTTCTGTCATCTGGTGTGTTTTAATGTTCATATGAGTGAGGCGGGCACTTTAAAGTGTTACGCGTGGTTTCGCGTTTGGGCTGACGGTATGTGGTTTTTGTGTTTGGTTCACCGGTTAGTAAAGTGTACAGTATATATGCTTATTGAACTATTAGCGATTCTAATAGCGACTCTTCCTGTGATTATTACGAGACGTTTTTTCTCCATGTAAAGCTCATGTGTGTTCCTAAGCCGAAAATTTTGTAGGTAGTAGTCCACATACCAACAAGACACTAAATTACTGTATCCAAAACTCTGATCATATACAAAAATGACTGCATAGATGTATCACCTGTTTTTTCTGCATAACGGTTTGACTCTTTTGGAGTAGTCCTAGCTATTTGTAGTAAGTCGGTGGTCTCATATCAGTCAGTCAGTCAGTCAGTTAGCTACAACGTAGGACCAGGCACATATGTGCATCGGTCCAGGTTGCCATACCGCATCAGCACAACAAGATGAACACCGGATTCATAGAAGTGGTTAGGTCAAAGGTAGTAATATATCAGTCATATCAGCGAAACTAAAGGAGCTAGAAGTTGAATTCGTAATCTGATATAGGAGATTGCCTACGAAATAAAAAATATTTGCCTCAATCTTCAAGTTATAGGGAAAGCAAACAAAAAAATTACTTCGAGATGAGAGCTGTCGAGAATTCGGTATCAGTTCTTGGGCCGAAGCAAGAATATCACATGCAGTCAATTACGGACTGGGTATATTCATCCGAACCTAGATTCACAGTTACATCTTTCTGCCCATTTTACCAACCTTGAAGCTCTTCTGAATTCCAATTTAGTCAAAAATATATTAGTGGACACAAAAATGTGACGTGCCGAAAATCAAGAGATAAAGTTTATTGCGTCCGTGTCATAGCACTAGTTCGCGCTCAGTAGGATATACTCCAAAGGATATTGCCACTTAGCAATAGTACCTTCATGTTTTAATGGTTAGATCACTCCACTTCTATCCCTTGGAGCTGATTCGTCATTTCAAGTAATTAGTCGGTGTATACACTCCCTGTCTTCCTTTAAACTAAGAGATTAAAATCGCTTCATATCTTTCTTTCTACGAACCAATTTTTTCTTCTTGTACTATATCTCTATATGCAATCTTTCTCTTATATATTACCACCTGCTGTCTTGAATAATTATTTTATATGAACGTACAAGAAGTAAGCTTGTATATAGTACCTTAAAGTAGGAAGCCTCTACTCAGGGTGTTTAATGATAAGAAGTAAATAGCTGAGAATAAATTATCACTTTTGTCACGTATAATGCTTGATTTACTATAAACCTCATCAGATTTAATTAAAACTTTTAAAAATATAGGAAAGGCAAATAGCAATTAGAATACAATAAATCCCAGGAGAGCTGGAGCCTTAAATATGGGTGGAAAAAATCAGTGCGAAGGTGAAGAGAACAGTCACAATAAAACATCTGAACATACGACACCAACTAAAAAATTCATATTGAAAAATTCGCGTACGACTAGTCACAATAGAAAGAGTGAACCTAAACCGCAGACGAATGAACATAATATCGACTTTAATAACATCAAAAGGAATATATACCATAAATTAGAAACTTTTTCAGAACAAGAAAACAAACAAAAAAACAGTCATACACACAGGAGTGAAAAGTATACGTCGGCGACTTCGGACTCTGACTCTAGTGATGACGAGCAGCCGGCGAGTAAGAAGCCTGCGTTGGTGAAGGCGTCTCCATCTGTGGGCAAGGCTGTTAGTGGTGTAGTTGCTGGTGGTAAGAAGGTGGTCGGGAAGCCTGCGTCGTCGAGTTCCGACTCGGATTCGAGTGATGAGTGTAATGCTGGATCAGCGAAGAAGCCTGTTGGTGTAGTTGTTAGTGGTGTTAAGACAGGGATGGGAGTTGTCCCACAAGGTGCTGCTCAGTCTGTGCAGAAGAAGAAAGTTGCGGCCGCTCCGTCGAGCTCGGACTCTGATTCTAGTGATGACGAGGAGCCGGCGAGTAAGAAGCCTGCGTTGGTGAAGGCGTCTCCATCTGTGGGCAAGGCTGTTAGTGGTGTAGTTGCTGGTGGTAAGAAGGTGGTCGGGAAGCCTGCGTCGTCGAGTTCCGACTCGGATTCGAGTGATGAGTGTAATGCTGGATCAGCGAAGAAGCCTGTTGGTGTAGTTGTTAGTGGTGTTAAGACAGGGATGGGAGTTGTCCCACAAGGTGCTGCTCAGTCTGTGCAGAAGAAGAAAGTTGCGGCCGCTCCGTCGAGCTCGGACTCTGATTCTAGTGATGACGAGGAGCCGGCGAGTAAGAAGCCTGCGTTGGTGAAGGCGTCTCCATCTGTGGGCAAGGCTGTTAGTGGTGTAGTTGCTGGTGGTAAGAAGGTGGTCGGGAAGCCTGCGTCGTCGAGTTCCGACTCGGATTCGAGTGATGAGGGTAATGCTGGATCAGCGAAGAAGCCTGTTGGTGTAGTTGTTAGTGGTGTTAAGACAGGGATGGGAGTTGTCCCACAAGGTGCTGCTCAGTCTGTGCAGAAGAAGAAAGTTGCGGCCGCTCCGTCGAGCTCGGACTCTGATTCTAGTGATGACGAGGAGCCGGCGAGTAAGAAGCCTGCGTTGGTGAAGGCGTCTCCATCTGTGGGCAAGGCTGTTAGTGGTGTAGTTGCTGGTGGTAAGAAGGTGGTCGGGAAGCCTGCGTCGTCGAGTTCCGACTCGGATTCGAGTGATGAGGGTAATGCTGGATCAGCGAAGAAGCCTGTTGGCGTAGTTGTTTGTGGTGTTAAGACAGGGATGGGAGTTGTCCCACAAGGTGCTGCTCAGTCTGTTCAGAAGAAGAAAGTTGCGGCCGCTCCGTCGAGCTCGGACTCTGATTCTAGTGATGACGAGGAGCCGGCGAGTAAGAAGCCTGCGTTGGTGAAGGCGTCTCCATCTGTGGGCAAGGCTGTTAGTGGTGTAGTTGCTGGTGGTAAGAAGGTGGTCGGGAAGCCTGCGTCGTCGAGTTCCGACTCGGATTCGAGTGATGAGGGTAATGCTGGATCAGCGAAGAAGCCTGTTGGTGTAGTTGTTAGTGGTGTTAAGACAGGGATGGGAGTTGTCCCACAAGGTGCTGCTCAGTCTGTGCAGAAGAAGAAAGTTGCGGCCGCTCCGTCGAGCTCGGACTCTGATTCTAGTGATGACGAGGAGCCGGCGAGTAAGAAGCCTGCGTTGGTGAAGGCGTCTCCATCTGTGGGCAAGGCTGTTAGTGGTGTAGTTGCTGGTGGTAAGAAGGTGGTCGGGAAGCCTGCGTCGTCGAGTTCCGACTCGGATTCGAGTGATGAGTGTAATGCTGGATCAGCGAAGAAGCCTGTTGGTGTAGTTGTTAGTGGTGTTAAGACAGGGATGGGAGTTGTCCCACAAGGTGCTGCTCAGTCTGTGCAGAAGAAGAAAGTTGCGGCCGCTCCGTCGAGCTCGGACTCTGATTCTAGTGATGACGAGGAGCCGGCGAGTAAGAAGCCTGCGTTGGTGAAGGCGTCTCCATCTGTGGGCAAGGCTGTTAGTGGTGTAGTTGCTGGTGGTAAGAAGGTGGTCGGGAAGCCTGCGTCGTCGAGTTCCGACTCGGATTCGAGTGATGAGGGTAATGCTGGATCAGCGAAGAAGCCTGTTGGCGTAGTTGTTAGTGGTGTTAAGACAGGGATGGGAGTTGTCCCACAAGGTGCTGCTCAGTCTGTGCAGAAGAAGAAAGTTGCGGCCGCTCCGTCGAGCTCGGACTCTGATTCTAGTGATGACGAGGAGCCGGCGAGTAAGAAGCCTGCGTTGGTGAAGGCGTCTCCATCTGTGGGCAAGGCTGTTAGTGGTGTAGTTGCTGGTGGTAAGAAGGTGGTCGGGAAGCCTGCGTCGTCGAGTTCCGACTCGGATTCGAGTGATGAGTGTAATGCTGGATCAGCGAAGAAGCCTGTTGGTGTAGTTGTTAGTGGTGTTAAGACAGGGATGGGAGTTGTCCCACAAGGTGCTGCTCAGTCTGTGCAGAAGAAGAAAGTTGCGGCCGCTCCGTCGAGCTCGGACTCTGATTCTAGTGATGACGAGCAGCCGGCGAGTAAGAAGCCTGCGTTGGTGAAGGCGTCTCCATCTGTGGGCAAGGGCTGTTAGTGGTGTAGTTGCTGGTGGTAAGAAGGTGGTCGGGAAGCCTGCGTCGTCGAGTTCCGACTCGGATTCGAGTGATGAGTGTAATGCTGGATCAGCGAAGAAGCCTGTTGGTGTAGTTGTTAGTGGTGTTAAGACAGGGATGGGAGTTGTCCCACAAGGTGCTGCTCAGTCTGTGCAGAAGAAGAAAGTTGCGGCCGCTCCGTCGAGCTCGGACTCTGATTCTAGTGATGACGAGCAGCCGGCGAGTAAGAAGCCTGCGTTGGTGAAGGCGTCTCCATCTGTGGGCAAGGCTGTTAGTGGTGTAGTTGCTGGTGGTAAGAAGGTGGTCGGGAAGCCTGCGTCGTCGAGTTCCGACTCGGATTCGAGTGATGAGTGTAATGCTGGATCAGCGAAGAAGCCTGTTGGTGTAGTTGTTAGTGGTGTTAAGACAGGGATGGGAGTTGTCCCACAAGGTGCTGCTCAGTCTGTGCAGAAGAAGAAAGTTGCGGCCGCTCCGTCGAGCTCGGACTCTGATTCTAGTGATGACGAGGCAGCCGGCGAGTAAGAAGCCTGCGTTGGTGAAGGCGTCTCCATCTGTGGGCAAGGCTGTTAGTGGTGTAGTTGCTGGTGGTAAGAAGGTGGTCGGGAAGCCTGCGTCGTCGAGTTCCGACTCGGATTCGAGTGATGAGTGTAATGCTGGATCAGCGAAGAAGCCTGTTGGTGTAGTTGTTAGTGGTGTTAAGACAGGGATGGGAGTTGTCCCACAAGGTGCTGCTCAGTCTGTGCAGAAGAAGAAAGTTGCGGCCGCTCCGTCGAGCTCGGACTCTGATTCTAGTGATGACGAGCAGCCGGCGAGTAAGAAGCCTGCGTTGGTGAAGGCGTCTCCATCTGTGGGCAAGGCTGTTAGTGGTGTAGTTGCTGGTGGTAAGAAGGTGGTCGGGAAGCCTGCGTCGTCGAGTTCCGACTCGGATTCGAGTGATGAGGGTAATGCTGGATCAGCGAAGAAGCCTGTTGGTGTAGTTGTTAGTGGTGTTAAGACAGGGATGGGAGTTGTCCCACAAGGTGCTGCTCAGTCTGTGCAGAAGAAGAAAGTTGCGGCCGCTCCGTCGAGCTCGGACTCTGATTCTAGTGATGACGAGCAGCCGGCGAGTAAGAAGCCTGCGTTGGTGAAGGCGTCTCCATCTGTGGGCAAGGCTGTTAGTGGTGTAGTTGCTGGTGGTAAGAAGGTGGTCGGGAAGCCTGCGTCGTCGAGTTCCGACTCGGATTCGAGTGATGAGTGTAATGCTGGATCAGCGAAGAAGCCTGTTGGTGTAGTTGTTAGTGGTGTTAAGACAGGGATGGGAGTTGTCCCACAAGGTGCTGCTCAGTCTGTGCAGAAGAAGAAAGTTGCGGCCGCTCCGTCGAGCTCGGACTCTGATTCTAGTGATGACGAGGCAGCCGGCGAGTAAGAAGCCTGCGTTGGTGAAGGCGTCTCCATCTGTGGGCAAGGCTGTTAGTGGTGTAGTTGCTGGTGGTAAGAAGGTGGTCGGGAAGCCTGCGTCGTCGAGTTCCGACTCGGATTCGAGTGATGAGTGTAATGCTGGATCAGCGAAGAAGCCTGTTGGTGTAGTTGTTAGTGGTGTTAAGACAGGGATGGGAGTTGTCCCACAAGGTGCTGCTCAGTCTGTGCAGAAGAAGAAAGTTGCGGCCGCTCCGTCGAGCTCGGACTCTGATTCTAGTGATGACGAGCAGCCGGCGAGTAAGAAGCCTGCGTTGGTGAAGGCGTCTCCATCTGTGGGCAAGGCTGTTAGTGGTGTAGTTGCTGGTGGTAAGAAGGTGGTCGGGAAGCCTGCGTCGTCGAGTTCCGACTCGGATTCGAGTGATGAGTGTAATGCTGGATCAGCGAAGAAGCCTGTTGGTGTAGTTGTTAGTGGTGTTAAGACAGGGATGGGAGTTGTCCCACAAGGTGCTGCTCAGTCTGTGCAGAAGAAGAAAGTTGCGGCCGCTCCGTCGAGCTCGGACTCTGATTCTAGTGATGACGAGGCAGCCGGCGAGTAAGAAGCCTGCGTTGGTGAAGGCGTCTCCATCTGTGGGCAAGGCTGTTAGTGGTGTAGTTGCTGGTGGTAAGAAGGTGGTCGGGAAGCCTGCGTCGTCGAGTTCCGACTCGGATTCGAGTGATGAGTGTAATGCTGGATCAGCGAAGAAGCCTGTTGGTGTAGTTGTTAGTGGTGTTAAGACAGGGATGGGAGTTGTCCCACAAGGTGCTGCTCAGTCTGTGCAGAAGAAGAAAGTTGCGGCCGCTCCGTCGAGCTCGGACTCTGATTCTAGTGATGACGAGCAGCCGGCGAGTAAGAAGCCTGCGTTGGTGAAGGCGTCTCCATCTGTGGGCAAGGCTGTTAGTGGTGTAGTTGCTGGTGGTAAGAAGGTGGTCGGGAAGCCTGCGTCGTCGAGTTCCGACTCGGATTCGAGTGATGAGTGTAATGCTGGATCAGCGAAGAAGCCTGTTGGTGTAGTTGTTAGTGGTGTTAAGACAGGGATGGGAGTTGTCCCACAAGGTGCTGCTCAGTCTGTGCAGAAGAAGAAAGTTGCGGCCGCTCCGTCGAGCTCGGACTCTGATTCTAGTGATGACGAGGAGCCGGCGAGTAAGAAGCCTGCGTTGGTGAAGGCGTCTCCATCTGTGGGCAAGGCTGTTAGTGGTGTAGTTGCTGGTGGTAAGAAGGTGGTCGGGAAGCCTGCGTCGTCGAGTTCCGACTCGGATTCGAGTGATGAGTGTAATGCTGGATCAGCGAAGAAGCCTGTTGGTGTAGTTGTTAGTGGTGTTAAGACAGGGATGGGAGTTGTCCCACAAGGTGCTGCTCAGTCTGTGCAGAAGAAGAAAGTTGCGGCCGCTCCGTCGAGCTCGGACTCTGATTCTAGTGATGACGAGCAGCCGGCGAGTAAGAAGCCTGCGTTGGTGAAGGCGTCTCCATCTGTGGGCAAGGCTGTTAGTGGTGTAGTTGCTGGTGGTAAGAAGGTGGTCGGGAAGCCTGCGTCGTCGAGTTCCGACTCGGATTCGAGTGATGAGTGTAATGCTGGATCAGCGAAGAAGCCTGTTGGTGTAGTTGTTAGTGGTGTTAAGACAGGGATGGGAGTTGTCCCACAAGGTGCTGCTCAGTCTGTGCAGAAGAAGAAAGTTGCGGCCGCTCCGTCGAGCTCGGACTCTGATTCTAGTGATGACGAGCAGCCGGCGAGTAAGAAGCCTGCGTTGGTGAAGGCGTCTCCATCTGTGGGCAAGGCTGTTAGTGGTGTAGTTGCTGGTGGTAAGAAGGTGGTCGGGAAGCCTGCGTCGTCGAGTTCCGACTCGGATTCGAGTGATGAGTGTAATGCTGGATCAGCGAAGAAGCCTGTTGGTGTAGTTGTTAGTGGTGTTAAGACAGGGATGGGAGTTGTCCCACAAGGTGCTGCTCAGTCTGTGCAGAAGAAGAAAGTTGCGGCCGCTCCGTCGAGCTCGGACTCTGATTCTAGTGATGACGAGCAGCCGGCGAGTAAGAAGCCTGCGTTGGTGAAGGCGTCTCCATCTGTGGGCAAGGCTGTTAGTGGTGTAGTTGCTGGTGGTAAGAAGGTGGTCGGGAAGCCTGCGTCGTCGAGTTCCGACTCGGATTCGAGTGATGAGTGTAATGCTGGATCAGCGAAGAAGCCTGTTGGTGTAGTTGTTAGTGGTGTTAAGACAGGGATGGGAGTTGTCCCACAAGGTGCTGCTCAGTCTGTGCAGAAGAAGAAAGTTGCGGCCGCTCCGTCGAGCTCGGACTCTGATTCTAGTGATGACGAGCAGCCGGCGAGTAAGAAGCCTGCGTTGGTGAAGGCGTCTCCATCTGTGGGCAAGGCTGTTAGTGGTGTAGTTGCTGGTGGTAAGAAGGTGGTCGGGAAGCCTGCGTCGTCGAGTTCCGACTCGGATTCGAGTGATGAGTGTAATGCTGGATCAGCGAAGAAGCCTGTTGGTGTAGTTGTTAGTGGTGTTAAGACAGGGATGGGAGTTGTCCACAAGGTGCTGCTCAGTCTGTGCAGAAGAAGAAAGTTGCGGCCGCTCCGTCGAGCTCGGACTCTGATTCTAGTGATGACGAGCAGCCGGCGAGTAAGAAGCCTGCGTTGGTGAAGGCGTCTCCATCTGTGGGCAAGGCTGTTAGTGGTGTAGTTGCTGGTGGTAAGAAGGTGGTCGGGAAGCCTGCGTCGTCGAGTTCCGACTCGGATTCGAGTGATGAGTGTAATGCTGGATCAGCGAAGAAGCCTGTTGGTGTAGTTGTTAGTGGTGTTAAGACAGGGATGGGAGTTGTCCCACAAGGTGCTGCTCAGTCTGTGCAGAAGAAGAAAGTTGCGGCCGCTCCGTCGAGCTCGGACTCTGATTCTAGTGATGACGAGCAGCCGGCGAGTAAGAAGCCTGCGTTGGTGAAGGCGTCTCCATCTGTGGGCAAGGCTGTTAGTGGTGTAGTTGCTGGTGGTAAGAAGGTGGTCGGGAAGCCTGCGTCGTCGAGTTCCGACTCGGATTCGAGTGATGAGTGTAATGCTGGATCAGCGAAGAAGCCTGTTGGTGTAGTTGTTAGTGGTGTTAAGACAGGGATGGGAGTTGTCCCACAAGGTGCTGCTCAGTCTGTGCAGAAGAAGAAAGTTGCGGCCGCTCCGTCGAGCTCGGACTCTGATTCTAGTGATGACGAGCAGCCGGCGAGTAAGAAGCCTGCGTTGGTGAAGGCGTCTCCATCTGTGGGCAAGGCTGTTAGTGGTGTAGTTGCTGGTGGTAAGAAGGTGGTCGGGAAGCCTGCGTCGTCGAGTTCCGACTCGGATTCGAGTGATGAGGGTAATGCTGGATCAGCGAAGAAGCCTGTTGGTGTAGTTGTTAGTGGTGTTAAGACAGGGATGGGAGTTGTCCCACAAGGTGCTGCTCAGTCTGTGCAGAAGAAGAAAGTTGCGGCCGCTCCGTCGAGCTCGGACTCTGATTCTAGTGATGACGAGGAGCCGGCGAGTAAGAAGCCTGCGTTGGTGAAGGCGTCTCCATCTGTGGGCAAGGCTGTTAGTGGTGTAGTTGCTGGTGGTAAGAAGGTGGTCGGGAAGCCTGCGTCGTCGAGTTCCGACTCGGATTCGAGTGATGAGTGTAATGCTGGATCAGCGAAGAAGCCTGTTGGTGTAGTTGTTAGTGGTGTTAAGACAGGGATGGGAGTTGTCCCACAAGGTGCTGCTCAGTCTGTGCAGAAGAAGAAAGTTGCGGCCGCTCCGTCGAGCTCGGACTCTGATTCTAGTGATGACGAGGAGCCGGCGAGTAAGAAGCCTGCGTTGGTGAAGGCGTCTCCATCTGTGGGCAAGGCTGTTAGTGGTGTAGTTGCTGGTGGTAAGAAGGTGGTCGGGAAGCCTGCGTCGTCGAGTTCCGACTCGGATTCGAGTGATGAGTGTAATGCTGGATCAGCGAAGAAGCCTGTTGGTGTAGTTGTTAGTGGTGTTAAGACAGGGATGGGAGTTGTCCCACAAGGTGCTGCTCAGTCTGTGCAGAAGAAGAAAGTTGCGGCCGCTCCGTCGAGCTCGGACTCTGATTCTAGTGATGACGAGCAGCCGGCGAGTAAGAAGCCTGCGTTGGTGAAGGCGTCTCCATCTGTGGGCAAGGCTGTTAGTGGTGTAGTTGCTGGTGGTAAGAAGGTGGTCGGGAAGCCTGCGTCGTCGAGTTCCGACTCGGATTCGAGTGATGAGGGTAATGCTGGATCAGCGAAGAAGCCTGTTGGTGTAGTTGTTAGTGGTGTTAAGACAGGGATGGGAGTTGTCCCACAAGGTGCTGCTCAGTCTGTGCAGAAGAAGAAAGTTGCGGCCGCTCCGTCGAGCTCGGACTCTGATTCTAGTGATGACGAGCAGCCGGCGAGTAAGAAGCCTGCGTTGGTGAAGGCGTCTCCATCTGTGGGTAAGGCTGTTGGTCGTGTGGTTAGTGGTCATGATAACTTTGTGGAGAAATCAAATTTCGGTGTTGGTGATGGTGCTGTGCGTCGTGATTTGTTGGGTCGTTCGTCCAGTCGTAAACGCCGTTTCTCGTTTGTTGGTTCCGGTGATTTTAAGATAAGGAGTTCGGTTAGTTCTTCTGCTGATAATCTTTTATCTGTTACTAAAACGTCTTTCACTGATTCTAACACTCCTTTTCGTCGCGTGGATGAGAAGGATGTATTTGTCCATCCCAATCTGCGGGACAATTCGTTCGAGGCGAAGGTAATTTTATGTTTTGCTCGTGTTTTGCGTTTTGTCGTTGATTTACTTTAATGTTATTTTATAACTGGTTTTAAAATTCGTTCACATCAATAAACAATATATTATATACTTCTAAATATTGTCGAGAGACAATCTAGTCTTCACCATTAAGGATGATAGAGGTTTCTTTGTCTTGATGTATTTCTCTGCTTTACTCTAAAACTGTTTCTAGTTTTATTATACATATATTCAGCATTAGTTTATTCTAATTATTGTATGAAGCCTCTTTAGAGAACGCATGTCTTTCGAGATACACAGTAATGGAAAATACGATGATCATTCTTATGATAAAACGGAACTATAAAATTGTACTGTAACATGATTTCAGACCATCAGTTTCTTTAATTTGTTATTATTACATATAGACATAACTAATGACTTATAAATAATTAATAAACCTGTTACCTAGTGATACTGAGAATGAATTAACCTGGATCCTAATTTTTATGTTAGTCATTTACATGGTTGTTATTCAGATGAATGCTAATTAGTTAAGAATTCATTAAATATCTCGAAGTATGAAAGTATGCTTTAATTTCGCTATACCCACTTCCAAATTTTTTTCCATCATTACCACATCTCTGTAATCTTGTTGAGTTTCATGTAAAGGGTTTAAAGCCACAATACCTCAAGAAGTAACGAAGAATGCTTCGAGTTTTTTTTTAGAGATAAAGTAGATTTCAAACTCATGATTCACTACTTAAAGTTTATGTAAACAAACCATTTCGTTGCAACCCAACAAACTAGCTCAATGGCTTATGTGCTCAACATTTATCTGTTCTGTCGTCCGTTTGTTCGTAGCTTCATCAATTGATGTCTGGCTCAAACCAGTATGCAGAATTCTAGTTAGTTACTCAGTTGCAACAACATAAATTGTATGGATAAAAAATTGTCTTCACTTTTAAACTACTGCTTTGGGTAACGTTTTTGTTTTCGAATCTTTTGTTCAGCGGAATGCACGTGGATCGTGGGGTGAAAAAGCGAATCGCGATTTCAAGTTTACCAGTGGAAAAGCGTTCAAACAAGAGAAAACTAAAAAGAAGAGAGGTTCTTATAGCGGAGGTTCACTTTCCTTAGATTCTTGTTCCTTTAAGTTTAATGAATAAACAGGTCTTTACTCCTGATTTTCTGTAAATATTTTTCCACTTACATGCATTTTGTAAATAGGAAGATAGTTAAAATATTTTCTAATGCTTTGCGATAACTCTGACGTACTGTTTGTTTAAAAAAAGATTTTGTTGCAATTTTTTTGAAATATCGTCATTTCAAATGTTATCGTTCAGTAAATCGTGGCTATTGCAAAATGCATTGTCTTGTAGTAGTGACTTGGGAGGAATCGGTCTGTCTAAAATTTAAGAATCCATCTATCTCAGTATAAGCAAATGGATAAGATCACTTTCCCTTCGGTTTATAGTCAGCTGCCAATATTTATTTTTATCATTTGTTTCTGTAAATGTGGTTGGATTGATGAAGAAAAGTGTTACTCAGAGATACGTTTAACTGTAAGCTACTTGTGTCGTAGTTTGCTTTGTTGGTTGTATTTCTAATGCTCATTTGTTTTCAATCCTTTATATTTTCTCTCACCGCTGATATAACAGCTTGCAATTTCAACAGGCATTAACGTAAGATCCAACAATAGTTGTGTTTAGTTTTAGTATATGGAGGAGTACTGTCGCGAACTTTAAGCACAAAAGTGATGGTAATATTTAGAAAAACTAATAATTAAATTGAGTAACATTTTGTATCTTTTTTATCATAGGCGACTCTGATTCCAACCATATGCTCGTAAATCGACCCCACACCTATCTGTTTTGTAGGTATATGTACAGCTAAGCTAGAAAAATAGTACTTATTAGTACGTAATTTCACATTCAAGTCTTCGATGCTATTATCACTTTTATTATTTTACAAATTGAACTCATCCCTTTTAATTGTGTTTCTTCTAGCTACTCAACTCATGTTGCTGTTAATCTCAGGTTTCTAGGATGATCAATACTTCTCTAAAGTTTGACATTATGCATGTTCACTAACTGATTATTTCATTATCTTTGTCTGTAATTGTTTACGTTTAGTTGATCGTTTTTAATGGTTTTTATCTCCACACAACATTGGTAAATATTTAGACATTCAAACTATTAACAAATAAGTTTATACTTCAGATCGTAATTGAGTATGTAAGAAGATTCACTTTCTGTCTTGCAATACTTAGATGATCTAGTTCTGATTAGTGAAGACACTGTCACGATACAAGGCTTACTGATGGCCTTGAACAACAGTACATGTATGTTTGAGATGTATTTCTCCCTCTAAATGTGAAGTTTCGCTCCCGGATCGGTCTACGTTAACACCTGAAGTGGTTGAGTAAGTTGACCATTTCACTAATGATGAAAGTGTCATCAGCCCTGGCTTGCTAGTTTCTGATGACATCTCGATACGGATCGAGAAACTCCGTTCTCATCAACGTGCGTCGCTGGTGACGTAAACGAGGTGTATGTCTGTCAGCCAAATTACGAGTTTACTGCGCAGCAATTCATATTCTACTCTATGAATGTGGAACATGTTAATTTCAGCATAGAATATTTGTAGGTCATTAGAATCTCACCATAGATGTCTTCGAAACACTGCTGGTGTATCTTAGTATCACCGAGTGAGTGAATGTGAGGTTAAGCATAGGGTAATAGGTAAAGATGACTAATCAATTAATCAGGTAGTGAATCCTCACCGAGGTGGTTAGGACATATATCTCATATACCCAGCCACAGCTTACCTGGATGGGGAATATACGGTGTAGGAGTAAGCCTTGAGGAAGCTGAACGAGGCCAATTTAAGACAGCATCGATTCATGAAGTTATTAGCTGTTGAACTGAGCCATGTAAGTAGGTATAAATTACCTGGTTGACGTCCAGTAGTTAAGGACTTGTGGCGACGACTGGAAATCGTCCACAATGGCCCAGGTCCATTCACTATGCATTTCTTTAGTCCCAAAATCTTATGTATTTCTCTTCACTTAGTCTTTCTACTACTCTAGGATTTATCTTGATCGTTTTGTCTCGCTGTGCTAATGTGTGGCAACCTGAATCTGTGTACATGTGGCCGATTTCTATGTTTGTGACTAAATAAAATTTACATAACTGTTACAGTTGTGATCTGAATGATTTAAGATGTAATTGTTCTAAATCCATCGAAATACACTTTCGTTCACTGTCTTTAGTTATGTGTAAAAATGATTTAATAAAATGGTGAAGGGTACTTATTTTTACAGCATGTTCTATGGTCTGACACCAAAATTGTGCGATTAACTACCGGGTTGTATTAGCAAAGCTCTTTTCACACTTGACCTTCAGTGGTCGTTTGCGATCAAAAATGTATTAGGAATGGGAAGTCTTGTAAACATTCATTTTGATGTGTGATTTCTATTTCCCATCGTTAGATTATTAATCTAAAGAACCGAGACAAATAAACTAAGGGGAAGTATTTTTGGAATTTATATTTATTCAGCTTTAATCAGTTTTATCTTAGCCTCTTACTACGCTACTTGATTACTTTTCCGGGTTTCTGTTATAGACCTTCCACCATATAATAATGTAGGGAGCATCACTCCCATGTATCACTATTCACGTTTACACTGTAGAAAGTTAGTCTGCCACACTTATTCTAATATTTCACATATATTTAGCTAATTATCACCATGAAGTTTCATAAATATCCAAATTCTGGAATTCGTTCCATGTATTAATTTATTAGGCTGTTCTTCCCGCTGACGAAGTTTGTTTACTTATTTACATAGAAAGTCGTGCATTTACTTTAAACGCTTTCGCACTCGTTATTCATTACTTTGATCTCAAGATTATCAAAATTGTACTCACTAATAAGTCAGTCTAGGTTGTTTGAAGCACCAAAATTGGCACTTGGTACCAAAAATTTAAATGATCATCTCGACTCAGGATATAAACGTTTTAGGGATTACTGTATTTATTTGCTCCAGCTATAATTTTTCAATTGTTCCTAGTACTTGAGTTTCATATTGTTGTTGTTCCTCTTTGGTGTTAAAGTCAGCAATAATTGTGAAGCACCGACATATTAGGTGTCGTTTCTCTGAGTAGACATATTCTTTTTGTATTATTAATCACAATCTTGTTTACAAATCATCTGCTTACAAGGACATCGATAGCTTAATTTAATACCTTTCTTATATTATTACATTCGGATTTTTAAGCATCACGACAACTGGATGCTATTTGTCGTCGAAATATCAACCATACTAATATTACGATTTCAGCTTGCATTTTCGGTATTAGGTGTTCCATTTAATGTAACCTTACTAAGGAAATTTAATCAAAAATCGTAACCTAAACATTTTTGGGTTTATTTTGGAAAGTTTTACAAGACTTGTAAGCGGAATAATTCCAGTTGAAACTTCAGAGATGATCAACGTCCGGATAAAGTTTAATAATTGTTTACTGCAGGTTGATATTTTGGAGGATCCAAGAAAGGATACCTAGTTGGATGTTGTTCCCAGCCTTACATTACTTAGTTGGTTGATCGATCACAATGTTTTCCACGAGTTTTCAATCGGGTGATAAATTATATCCTGGCTTTATGTACTTTTCAGTTAAGTTCAGACAACGTAGTTATCTTCAGTAAAACACCCTGAATTATCTGACAGTCAATTGAGGTGTTGTTAACCGAAGTAGCGATTGCGTGTATAGTATTTCAACTAACATTTTCCATATTTTAAACATCAACTGGAGGTTATGCTTAAGTCTAATCCATTAATAAATATTTAATTCATGGGAATAGCCATGTGCTATTGAATCAGTTGGATGTATAAACACCGCCGTGTTTTAAAAAATATCTTGAGACTCATTAAGCTTATTATTCAATCGGTTGTATATTTCAAATAATTCGAATCCAGGCAGTTTATTGATGTCGATCATTATCTCAGCGTAAATAGAAAGCGCATATTTGAACTTAAAGCTTTTAAATAATTTCCGAGTTGTAATGGATCCTAAGTGATGGCATTAGCTTTAGTACATATCAAGTCTTATTCCTCAAAAATGCCATCAATAATTATCAAATTATGACTTCGGTAGGTTGTTCGTTACAAAACATTAATTTTCTCATTTTGCTTGAAGCAGTCGCTCAAAATGCGCCTAGAATTTCAGTATCTTAAACACTTACTATTTCTTAATATGTGCTGTATTCATTATCAGTTTTGATATACTTGTAATACATCTCAATGTTATGAAATAGAGGTGATACTTTTCTTCATATGAATTCAAATTGTTTATTTAACCGAAGATATGAAAGTTAAATAACTTTGAGTTCAGTGACGCGATTGCAAGAATTTCTCCAGTTTATTCCACTAATTTTAAAGGATGTTGATTTTCGATATACATAGGTTTTAAAATTCCCCAGTTGTACACAATTTTGTCAATTTCGAGTGTTTGGTTATCGACGTATGGATGAATAAGTTAGGAATCGTGTTATTATTTTGGCCATTACCTAGTATACCTGAATACACATCAGTTATGTGAGGTGAATACCTTCTATTAATGAAGATAAGTGTTATTTTTATTAATTTTATTATTCGAATAACAGGTTAATATTAAATTCAATTGAAGAAGGGCAATGTAAATAGCGTTTTAATCAAGAACGTACGTTTCCTCCTATTTCGGACACTCGAGCTGAACAAGCTCACTTTGTAGGGAAAGTAGGTATCTGCGTATTCACCTACACTTAATTATATATTTATAATTTACAAAATAACAATATAATTTCATGCTCAGGATATCAAGTTAACCTCCTGTCTTTTATATCGTTTTCTTTGTGGATGGTTGTAGTATCGTTTCATAAAAATAACATGAGTTCGACGAACATAAATTAAAAGAGTACACTAAAATCCTAACCACAAACCTTTAAACGAATTTAAACAACCAATTTTTCTATCATTAGCTAACAAAACATCTTTCCTAATAGTCTTTTTTAAATTCTACTGTTAGGGAATTATAGTTAGAAAACGTATCTCAGCTTTGAATCCAGTAAATACAGTTGACGCCTTATAAATAAATTGGCTAATATTTATGCTAAGAACCTTTCGGAAAATTCTCAAATTTTTTATAATGTTTTATGACATGGACTTAGAAGATAACATATCACTGGATCCATATCATTGTGCTTGATTATGAGATGTGTTACATGTGATAGAGTTTAAGACATCTAATCCTGATAGTGACTTTATTTCACGTCTTATAATAACAGTGGAATATGAGCTGATTTGGATCGGCAAGGAAGCAGAATGGTTTTACTGGTGAAACAGTGAAGATCTTTAATTCATTTTTGTATTGGTTGTTTGAATCTTTCCATTGATGTTTAGGACTGCAATTGACCAGTCTCTTATTGGCATATATGCATCCTGTACGCATTGCCTTAAATCACAAGCATTGTAAACAGTTATGGGTGATGGCTAGTGGGGGAATCCAGGAAGCATGTTTCGTTTCATCTAGGAATCGTCACCTGGATGTAGTTGCATCTCAGAGTTGATGTTCATTCCGGGACTCGAACCCAGTACCATCCGCTTCAAACGCCATAGCGTCATCTACTTGGCTACTGATTGGCGGATTCTACTGCTAGTATCCATCCATCTCTGCTTATAATGCTTGTGATTTAAGGGAATATCGAGACAATCTGCACGGGATGCATATATGCCAATAGGAGACTGATCAATCGCAGTCCTAAACATCAATGGGGAGATTCAAACAACCAATACAAAATGAATTAAAACTTCAACCAATTGCACGAGCCTGTGATTACCACAACTCAGTAGCTAAGTGGATAACGCTAAGACATTCGGAGTGAATGGTACTGTTTTGAAGTCTCGGGGTGAACATTAAATCCGAGATGCAGGTATACCCAGGTGACGAGTCCTAGATGGAACGAACCACGCGTCTTGGATTCCACTTCTAGCCACCATCCATCTATGCTTATAGTGATGAGCTTTTTTCCACTTGTTGCTCCTCAATCCATACATAATAAAAAAGTGGTTCAGATGTGTATTAGTAATGATTTTTGGTCGGATACTGAAATATTCCTGAACTTAAAAGTTTGATGACATTTTAACTTAACTCTCGAGTTAGATGTTACTTGTATATGTTCTTATATTCATCAGCTTTAAAACCTCATCTAGGTCTTCGTGAAAATGTTTCTCAAAAAGAATTGCTAAGGGTTCTAATGTGTATGATACATTGAATGTTTCAATCAAGTTATCATTGTGTAAAATATTTTTTTGGGAATCTATATGATATGTCTAAATTGTTGGGAAAATCTCATAAAGACGTTTCAAAATTTTTTATGGGTTACTTTTCATTTTCAGAGCATGACTCAAACCTGACCAATTAGGGTGTCAAACGAGTTCATTGTTATTTAACTGATGTTTTAGTGCGTCACTGATCAACAGAACAAATAAAGCCAAAAACAGCTCCTGCTGCATTGTGATATTTCGATCAGCATAACAAGCTAAAGAAACGTGAGTTACGGCAAAACGATTGATCTATATCCATATAAAATTTATCCCTCTTTGAACAGATCAAAGACTTAAAAATCATATATATATATATATAATTCTAATTCTTCTAATTAGCTACATCTGGAACCTCCGGGCTTCTGCCTTTCTTAATCTCAGTCAAAGGAGGATGGTTGGACATCATATCCGCAACCCGATCCCGTAGAAAACAACGTTGCTAAAGAACGCTAACCAATTAAACTCTGCTCTGAGATATGAATGATCTCCATTCAGAAGAACTATGATGCCTCATTGCAAAAGCCAATATTCTTCTGAAGTCCTGAGGCAGATGCCCATTCTAACAACCAGAGCAACAATTTGTACAGGTACATGGAATGTCCAGACAATGTGGGAGACCGGGAGGACCAGTGTTATGCACTCACCAATGATAGTAACGAAGATCAGTTTTACGAAAGGCTGCAACCCATCACAGCGAAGTGCTCATGAAACGACCTGACTATCCTGATGGGAGATCTAAACGCCAAAGTTGGAATGTACAACATCGGGTATGAAGATATAATGAGGCGAAATGAACTGAATGGGATAAACTAACGAGAATGGAGACAGATTTACAGGAGGCACAATATTCCCACACAAACACATAAACAAAGCTACATGGGTCTCCCCGACTATTCTACAAAGAACCAGATCGATCATAGTTGTATCACTAAAGAGTCCAGAAGGACAATGGAAGACGTGAGAATCATGAGAGGAGCTGACATAGCTTCAGATCATCACTAGCTGATGATTGCCATGTTGAAACTGAATCTCAAGAAGTACTGGACAACTGGACAATCAGCACTACAAAGGTTCAATACTGCCTTCCTTCCACATACTAACAAACTCAACGAATTCAAGATATCTCTTAACAACAGGTTTCAAGCCTTACAAGATCTACTGAAGGAAGAAGAAACTACTATGGAGGACAACTGGAAAGAGATCAGTGAAGCATTAACTTCAATGTGTCAGCAGGTTCTAAGCCTGAAGAAGCACTTTTATAAGGAATAGGTCTCTATGGAAACCCTGTATTTGATTCAAGAAAAGAAGAACAAGAAGACAGCAATTAACAACAGCCGAATGAGAACACAGCAAGTTAAGGCACAAGCTGAATACACTGATGCATACAATGAAGTGGAGAACTGACAAGCATAAATACGTGGAAGATCTAGAAATGAGAGTGGAGAAAGCTGCAAGAGAAGGAAATATAGAACAAGTATCTGACACGACGAAAGAACCGTTAGGGAAATATATACACCGTTGAGTTTTATCTAATAACGGTTATCAGGAAAAGTGATATACGAAGCCTTTGGAATTATTTCTAAAATATTCTAGTACAACCCAACACTTGTGAAATGGACGTTACACGAACTGAAAAGCAACTTTACTTGCTACTTTCTTAGATTCATGAAGACATAACCAACGTTCGTCAGTATTCTTCGGGAGGCTGATGGCTAGCCTTAAACATAGTCTGCGTACAACAATCCATTCAGGACGATACGTTTTTGGGTCAGCGAAAGGCAAGAAAAGCTTGTTTTAAACCAGGACACGATCAATTCCAAATACGCAGCATTCGTAACCATAAAAACTTCCCCAAGAATTGGCCAAACCTACATGTTATCTGCTCTGTATCAGTGCGTAAACGAAGTAGGCAAGTTTAAATAAGATAGCCCTATATTTTGTATTCCATGACAGTACTAATCAATGCGACTACTGAAAGACTTGGGACCGTCTAGATGGGACAGAGTTTTCGGCAGAGGTAAACTACTGGTTAGGTTAAATAATATAAGTAAACAGGATGAAAAAAGGAAAACAAAGGTGAGACAGTGCAAAGTAGATACCTTTGAATTAAATGCACTGCAAATCACATGTACGCGAACCGGTTGTTTTCTTCATTATTATTATTTATCATATTTCTGAGTGTGTTAGAATACTACCCTGACATCTCAATAGGATCCTGAAGTCCGTTTACATCATAGGTTTGGAATCACAGTTTTCCAACTTCCGTAGGTGGGTCCTATGGGTCCACCAGCCTAGTTTAATGACCGGAAGTTCACTTTTCGTTCTACCATTTTCGTAAAAGCCCACTTTACGTGACGGGAGAACACGACCCTTTCCATTCTCCGTTTTACCAGCATTTGGGGACACTAACACTCTAGACTTTTCCAAGTGGCAGAATATAATCTGTTTCTGGCTACCTGTGGTTAATTGACTCAGTTGATTTGAAGTCTGATTAAGCAATACAATCCGGTTGCAGCGAGTAACTGACATCCTTCCCCACAAATGAATGAATAGTGGAAAAAAAAATAACTCGCCAATAAAAATTATTCCTTTTTAGTAAATTGATAAACTGATACACAAAATACTTAAGATTAATTAACACAACTAAAGCCATTTAAAATAATTATGCAGTTGGAATACAAGGGTAATTGTATTTCACTTCTCAATGAATGAAGTTATGAACTGACTATTAAATCTCAAGCATTATTCACTAGATCAGCTTCATATGAACTATTGAATGTTAAATATGATTTATTCGTTCAAATTAAAATGAAATACAAGTAGAACACATAGTGGAATTTAGTGTTATAACTATGAAAAGCAATTTGATTTATTATAAGAAATAAATAAATGATTTGGAAGATACTTCGATAGATTTTGAAGATATGAAAATAATTAAGTCAATATATATAAATAGCTGAATAAAATTTACAAATTGTTAATATTTCTTCAAGCATGTTATTGTTTTAAATTTAACGAAGATAACACATAATTCTTTACTTTTCAAGAGATTAATATTTAGATAAAGCCTCTAACAAATATTAGTTGTATACTGAAGTAAGTACTCGATTTTCATATTAAGGAAGCCTGTTTCTTTGTGAGAAACTTTTATTCATTGTATATAGATATATCTTTACGTTTTTTATAGAAGTAAAGAAATCCATGTTAAATTGATAATAGAAGAGTACTTTCCTCCAATATAATTTACCTAATTAAAAGAGATATCTAATTGAAATTACAATTTGTGAATATTTTTCTTCAGGCTGATATTATATAATTCAACATTTATAAAGCAAATTTTGAGAAAAAAGAGTCATAGGAAGTGGTTTATTACAGAAATGAAATATATTTTTAAACAACAAAATCTTGAACGCTACAAAATAATTTATAACATATTGAACGATCAAATTCAATTCAATTACAAATATGCTATGATTGTTTGAATGATCAAGTTTACAGTTATTCTAACATAAAATAAAATTGAAATTAAAGAAATAATTATCATGATCATATTATGTAATATTTTTCATTTCGTAATACATTAAATAAGACAAAAAGAAGTAAATAAATGGTAAGATCTTTTACCAAAATATAAAAAGATAAATAAAAGAAAAAAATTTAAGTAATTAAAACGAAAATGAAAATAATGATAAATAATAACTCAGAAAGTAATAATAATAATAATAATAGTTACTACGGAGATTGTAGTGAATTAAGAGAATATGATCATAAATACAACTTAAAATTGGTTATAATTTGTTAACATTGAAAATCATAGGATAAATACATAATTAATGATAAATAATATTTACATAATCTCAATAGATAATTGTTAATTAGTGTGATGAAGTTTCACAATTATTTTCATTAATTACATTAGATGTAATATTATTTAATGTGATGGATTCTTCCATTGATTTATCACCATTTAGTTCATGTAATTTCAATGATGGAGAAGAACAACTGTTAGGTGTATTCAATAATTTGAATTTATCAAGAATATGTATAATTGATTGTCTTCTTGTACATTTACCATTAATGATTTTTTCTTCAGATTGATTGTTCAAATGATCTTGATTCTATGAAACAAAGAGATAAATGTTTTGTCAATACAGTGGATTTATGTTTTGAATGTAAGATATTCCGCTAATTAAAACTGAGAATAAATCTTACAGACATAAATGAGAAAAACTTTGAAACGTCTAAATTTCTTTATCTGTCAAATGCTTCACAAAGTTTCATGATCTAGTGGTAGGTCAAAAGATAAAAGTTGACAATGGAATACTTGTACGACTTATACACGTTAAAAAGCTTAATAAAATGACTAATAGGTCGGTACATTTATTGTAAATGCATACAATGATAGGTGTAATGAATAAAATAGTAGGTAAGTAAATTGTAAAATACGCTCTTCATATTCACTGTTGCTACATCAAAAACCAACTTCGGTAGCTTGAAGACGTTTTATGCAGTTATAACAGCTTCGTACTCAAGCAATATTTGATGACTTTTAGACTGGCTGGAGGCAGCGGTTACTTCGCAAATTAATATGCATACGAAAGGATCCATGTATCTTTTTAAATTTATCTTAGCTGTCTGAATAGGATCCTAGGTATCAGGTACATTAGTGGCTTTTGATGTTATATATATATGTATAGTTCAAAATAAAAAATTAGTGGAATTTTAACTGAAAAGTATTTCCTATGTTCTTTACAAACATTTGCAATGAAATCTTCATTGGTGATTTGCCTTATTAAATAGTAACCTTAGCTGCCATTATTATCGTTATTATATTATATTTCGATATTACCTTTACTAAAACACGTACAATTTATAAAACAAAGGGAGGCGGGGTGTGACACGGTGGCTCTCAATATTGACATTTTAATTGTAAATTATTAGCTCGAAATTCGATCCTCTCCTGGTCACATTTCTATTTAAAAAGAAATCAAGACAGCGTTTTACGAAAAATCCGGCCTAAGATGTAGTACATAAACTTCTTTACCTAGATTTGGGAGTGTTTATTTGAAGAAAAATGCTATGAAAACTATATATTTGAAATGTACAAGTCAGTGGTAATAACTGTAATTTCAATATAAAAAGAGTACTTACTTGTTTGTCTGTATTATCATTATTACTGTTCATATTAACAATCTCTTCCTCTTTAATAGATAAAGGAGTATTTACATGATCTGTTAAATTTACACTATTTGATTTTTCAATATAAGTATTGACAATAGATGAGCATTCTTTACAATGTAATACTTGTTTTATTAAATCAAAAGTTAAATCCAAAAATAATGGATCATGTTTATATAATTGATTAATAGTTAATGAATTGATAGGATAATTTTCATTAATTTTTATTAAATAATCATTTAATTCTTTTATAATTGCTTTATAGCTAGTAAACATATGTTGATTTCTTTCTAATTCAATGGAATTCTCTTCAAGTGCACTACGAAACATTTTTTTCACCTAAGAAAAAGTATCAAACAATAATGAAATGATGATTCCATTATATAGAACTTATTCTGAATGAATATTTATTAGGTAAATTAACATTATAAATTTGTATGCAAAATGATTTATCTGAGATAACATGATGAAAATGTACGTCACTTGAGAAAAAGACCAGTGAGGTTTCACATCAATCGTGCTTACTATTTCTTGTACATAGGACTAATCAATTTGATGCATTTGGAGTCTAAACAATATTGGAGGCTGGTAATTACCAAGTTATCAGGTTGATCTAATCAGGATGATATTGTTATAATTAATAACTAATTTATTATTATTAATGTTACAGGGACAAAGTAATTATCCTACAATGATAATAATAGAACAGTTTAGTGATACAGTAAGTAATAGAGATAATAATAATATGATCACACAAATGTATATGTACTTTGGCGATAGTACACATTTGTTAGGAAGGCGAATTCAATCGCACTGAGACTGACTCAAAAGTGTATATATGTTATTAAATAGTATGCGAATTGATATAATATTTACGTAGATTGAATAAAAAAAGTATCTTATTTCTCACATGAAGTAAACAACGATCAAATAATCCTACCAATTTCATTCGAAACTGTTATATATTAGGACGTGTTGATCTTCGGTAACTTATTGTGATTCACATGACTTTGGACAGATTGTTGAAATATATAGAATGGTGAATTTTAAAAACTGGAAACAACTCTCTACTGAACAATGTAAATGATTCAAAAAGTATCTGCCTTTTATATTATTCCATCAATCGGAAGTTAATTGTAATCATTTGACGAATCGAATACATTTAGCGAAGGCTTATTAACAAATCAATATGACAAGATGTATCAGAAATTATTATTGTATAGAACAACTCAATTGAGTTAACAATAGTTATCAGATCACGTTAGCCCATAATAATAATATTCAGATTATTCTCATATTCATAAACTATCTGTTGGAGGAATATAGTTTGGAATAAAGCATGTTCCGTGCAGGACTGCATTGGGGAAAGCTGATTAACTGTTTCTTAACCAATCAGCGTCAGCGGATACTCTGGGATCTTATGTGAAAATTATAGATATACTGACGTTTCTCTTATTGAGATTCCTACTTCCATTCAACACTTTTATTTGGAATATAGTTACGTTACTGTTCAACCGTGTTCTGATTTGGGGACTTGTCGAGTGAAGTACTGCTTAAGAATACTAAGCAATACGGGTAGCTGGATCGTAGTAAGAGAAATCGTAACACAATCTAAGTGAATCAATTATTAAAGAAAGTAATGTAAAACAAACATAGTACGGGGTGAAAAGAGACTAAATTATATTTAAGTGTCAAATATTTCTGTCTTAAAAATGGTGTTAAATTCAATGGAAAATCATTAAACTGACGAGTATGCAATGGATATAAAAATGAACAGTAATAATCAAACAAATACATTGATTTGTGATAACCTTGAGAGCTTGAGATAATATGTCGTTCAATATTTAATTTATTTGTTTGGACACATAAAAATTTATACAAGGGAACACCACATATGTACATATAAACACGCGTCACGATAAAAAAGAGGTTGTGAAGAGATACAAAATGGACGGTAAGTATAATAAAAATTAATGTATGAGGGTGAAAGAACAATAATAATAGGGAAAACAGCAAAAATGCAACTAGAAATAGAATTCTTTCAGTTAAAGAAGTTATATTCACTTTTATGGAGAACGCAAAATAAAGTTAAAGCAGGGTCGCCACTGACTTCTATTCTAAAACATATCTGATAACGTCTCTACCCACTGTGTTGCAACGTCTCTAGGACCCCAACCAGGGAGTCGTGAAGGTCCAACAGATGCCAGTCCTTTGCAGCTTTCTTTCATACCACGACATATCGTCATACACTGACCATCTCTCCACTTTTTCCAACTAGTCCGAGCGTCAGAAAATAATGCACGACGTGGAATTCTCTAGGATAACATTCGTAGAACATGTCCAAGCCACCGAATTCGATGTTTCAAGATGGTGACACCAACTGACTTATCGTCTCTGCGCCCGAACACAGGATAGTTTGAACGCAGTCGGGAAAAGACTTATCCCCTATTAGTAGTTGCACAGATGACGTGAACCTTTTAGAAAGATAGGGAAAACTATCGACTCATTCAAAGATGCTGCAGCACAACAAATTATGCTTTAAATGATAAAATTTGACAAAAAGGTAGATACCAAACTTTACTTACCTGTAGTACTTCATTTTCTAAGTGAGCTTTTTCTTCTAAAGCATCTTGAAAATCCTGCCTGGAAGCGAATAATTCTCGAGTTAATATTTCAGCTTTATCTTCTAACTGAAATATAAAAAAATAAAATGATATAAATTAATATATTTTCCTTTTAATAATAAATTTAATCTTTGTAAAAAATAACAAGGAAGTGATCGTTTAATGGTTTTAAACAGTTAGACTTTTTAACGATTTTTAATGACAAGTTTTAATGTAGTTCGAGCAGTGGCCAATAGTCAGCACAAACGATATAGTACAATGACAATTATACATAAGTATATACAAAATAATTATAAGTATTATCAATGAAATCGAGTAGTTATTAAAAAGGAAATATTATAGAATTTATCGAACATCAGAAGAAATCTTTAAAAGAAAAAAATAGATTTGTATAAATCCTACATAATATTATCTGAATTAAATATTTATAAACCATCTGTCTTACTATCTATATAAACATGATATCAAATTCAAACAACAATAGATATTTTGACAAAGAAACACAATTAGTGTATTCAAATGTTAACAGAGAAGTTGCACATATGAATTAAGGATAAATACAATGAATAGTACAATGATAACCACCGATCAAAGTGAACATTTTCATATTCCCATGATACATCCATTTGATATATAACCTAATATGTCACGATAATAATAGTCTGAATAATAGAATATCATCTAGGATAGCATACACTTACTCTAGAAAGATAATAAGGGTGATTATACTGAAACCGACATTGCTGTGTAATAATAACCAGTAATTTTCAACACATTCCTTAGCCACTTTTCTCTGAAGTCCGAGATCAACAAGATTCACCCTTACGGAGAAACAATTACCCTTTAACACTGTGAATAAATCACCCAGGACTAAATACCAGTGACGCCTGTTGGAGCGACTAAAGTAGAGTTTCCTTCCATGAATCTACGTTCACAGAATTGCTCTATTTGAAACAGGTTGGGTCCACCGTACTCAGACCTCATTGATTCAATCGTTTGCAGTTATATGATGTTCCTCTAAACACCATATATAACTTGGTGAAACAATTTTATGCTCTTAAAGACTATCTTGAGTTACTGAGTCAGCTTTCCAATAGTTTTCAGCCTGATTTACCTCATTGCTTAGCTATGCAAGCAAAGCTTAGCCTGAGGCTAAACTGATTCTCCGTTCCTAAACACCAGTACAATATGTACTATTGTCTCAGGTTGACAAGGAACTCTATCTTCTTTAGCAACGCTTTCCGTACTTCGCATAGGGAGCAAAGCAGCAATGCTGAATATTGTTGATACCAACCTCGAGGTAGAAGCATCACCAATACCTGTTTCAGTATGATCCCCTATTTCTTATCCCTGACACCCTCCACTCATTATCTTTCAAAATTTAATGTATGTAATCCTAGCGATTCAAGTACTATGTTAGTACATCATCAAAAACCTGTTCATATACTTTTGAATCACACATTTTCTTACTATGAAAACGTTAGGATAACTTTTCCTGTTTTAGATTTGCATGAACTTATTTATTACTTATTTTAACCACATGTTCTCAATCACTTCCCTAAAAAGCTGCCAATATATCTGAGAATTACTGAGAAATTCAAACACGACCAACCACAAGGCTTGCTGGTACATTTCCTTCTCGTATTTTCTAAGGAAACAAGAAGACTGAGAATGGGATTCATGAACCACGTGTATTATGCGATAAAAGATTTCATAGCTACGAAACTTGTCGAAAATGTTTGTAAATGCCGACAAATAACAACTAATCACTGTTGTGATAAAATTTTAATGCGTTTTCCTCATAAATCGATATCAAAAATGGAACTGTTGCAATACTGGACATTCTGTGCTGAGAGATTGTGCTGTGATCAAATATATTATATTATTATTATTATCTTTGAGTTTCGTGCAAAAACTGTAGTTGTTCACTTTGATGTGTATTGATTCGATATCATGTAACTTAGTTTTACCACTTGAAGCAACCCTAAAAAATATTGTTTCGTTTATTTGCTTGTAAGCGACTCGAACACAACTGAATATACAAGAGTATGTAAACATCGAAACCAACAAAAGGAAAAACGATACAAATAGTTCCCGAGAAATACGGAATGATAAAACAATCACATACTATAGGTTGACTTGAGATACTTAAGCAGTAAGAGCAAGGAACAGACATTTAATGTTCGGTTTTACAGAATATATATTTACACAAATTGTAAGTTAAGCAAATTTTATATGATAAAGAGAAGTATTATATATTCATTGCTATATTAAGTATATGAACAGATTAAACATGACGTTATTTTATTCATATACTAGTCTTCTGCGATGAAATATATCTGTCTGATACTTCATAAGAATCTAATTTGGATAGGAAAGCAACAAAAAATAGTTTTATATAGGGAAAGAATTTTAACAATTAATCTGTGAACTAAAAATGGACATTAAGCTCATTCGAATGTAAAATTTCTTGAAAAATCTACACAACATTCAATACAAATAACTAACCGTAAATTGTAAAAAACTGGTTAGAATTATTGATAAAATAAATAACAAATTACCCGGTCAACTTGTTTGTGCATTAATGTTTTACTCGATAAAAGACCGGTAGCCAGTGATTCATTCTCGTGTTCTAATCGAGAAACTTCTCGACGTAATGATGCCAACTGACACTCCATGACATGTAGAGGAGATTCGGTCAATTTTTCTTGAGCTCTCTTTGTTATCCATTCTTTAGCATATTTTTGTAATTTGGAGGAAGTAACCTTTGAAGAAATGTAAGAGAATAAAGTGGATGGAGAATTTTATCGAAACTTCTAACCTTACGGTTAAGTGAAGAGTACAATTTGGTGATCAAAAGTGCAAGATCTTCTGCAGATGCGGTACTATCATTACGAGATAATATGGAACACATTAAAAACATTAAATCGTGAAGTATCTGTATAAAATACTAGATCTATTTACAATAAAAGTGAATATTGTTACGTCATCTACCTGATTACGTCAGAATACGATATACAACTAACGGCAGTTGAACGTGTAGAAACCCACAGTCGCAAATCAGAAGACGGAAGAGGCATGGGAAATGATTATCGAGTAAGAACCAAAAATGTACAGAAAACATGGGTATTTATAGTTACTGGTATTGGCTATAACCTCATTGTAATTCAGTCAATATGCAAGCAGATAAGTTATGCTATCGTCCAATCGTAGCATGCCACGTTGATATTCTAATGGGCTCTATCAGATCCTGATTGGATGGAAACTCTAGAGTCTACATTGTGCTTTTCGAAACCGTCCTAATATATATAGCTATGTACAACAACATACGATAAGTTACAAAACAGATAACATCTGCGTCGAAATCACAAGGGCAGATAATCGAAAATGAGAACGAAGTACACAAAATGGAAATTAATACAGCAGAACAAACGTCCAACAATTTCATCGAAGTTGAAAACGACTGTTACAAATGCTAATGAAATGCTATTACTAGTAAGTAATTCTAATGTCACAAGTTTATGTAAATATTTGGAAACACTAAACAACACCAGATACACGTCGAACGTCATGTTCTCAAAAATCATTAAAACTGACACTGGTTACTGAACATTAGTAAGTACTATAAAGTAATAAACAAAAGAGAAGATAAGAAAATAAAGGAAAGAAAAAACATTTAAAAATGGGTTTTGATTTCTTTTGAAAGAGAAATTCCGATCATTAGTAAGGTGTGTCGACCTAAATAATCATATAAAATCTGTCTTTTTTCACATAACTGACAAAACAAAGCTATTTTTTACTAGCAAACTTAGGACTCCTGGTATATGTCTAAGTGGAAATGGTACACGAAGTACCTGTCTTAATTTGAAATAATCTGAGCAAACAAATTAGGTACTTTGGAGAAAATATATTTACGTAAATAAAAACCAAAAGAGTTCATTATTGTCATTTTGAACACCGAAGGTATCTGGCTATTTGAACTTAGTAGCTAAGTGAATGAAACTAATGGAGTTTGATGCGGGTGGTACAAAGTTAGAGTCAAGAGGTTAGGCCACAGCTGTGAGATTGCAGTAGTGCTACTCATGGGTAACCGGTATTTTGTTCCATAATTTCATTTTTGTCTTTTATTGGTTAACTGTAAATTAAATGTCTTCTTGGTGGGTGATAGACTCGTTATTTCTCCGGAAATATTGAACTGATAATTTTTGTGCTTGTTTGTGAGAAGAAGTTGATCGCTGTTGCTGGAATTATCATATTGAATGTGAAACTTGACTTTAAGCTGGTTATCGTTTACTGAAGAACCATTTATCACTTATACGCAAATACCTCGAGAGCCAAAGATAGCCTTTTGAATTTAATCGACTTCAGGTAGATTGTTCCGTTGAATCTAACAGATTTTTAATACATATTTTATGATTACGGCAGTAGGAAGCTATATTATCATGTAAAGTTGCTAAACCTGGTGATAAAAATCTATTTCTTAGTTAATCAGAAAATTCTACGATGGAGAAGTAACTGTTGAACAAACAGGATTCAACATTTATTGTTATGAATTATAGAAACAAAGTGGACTGAATGAAAGGGAATAATAATAGATAGAATTCCTAATGTAAGCAGATCAACCTAAACTATTTTAGCTTTTAAACACATCATTTAAAACATCGAAAAACATAAAATTCATTGATGGAATCTCTTTTCAAGTTGTACAGTCGTATCCTGTGAATAAATATGAATAATGAATAAACACGATGATGTAATAAAAAGATCATAATCTCGGATTATAGTTTCAAATAATAATAGTAAAATGTTATGTTACTACTACACGATATGTATATATAAATGGAATAGATAGAATATAAATGAGAATAGAAATGATCCAAAAGGAGCCATACAAAAGTGCGATAAATTTATGTTGATTTAAACAAGGTTACAGTAAAAAATTACTCATCACATTAGTACAACAATACTACACAATATAATTTGAAGACAACAAATGACAGGATGATATGAATGGTATTTACTTATAAAAAAGTATCATATTATCATAAATAAAGCTATAGAACTTCGAATTAATAGAAACAAATATTAAAACACTTGACCTTAGATATAAATGAATGTGATCAAAAAAATAATAAATCGGTGCGGATAATGACACGGATAATGTCTATAAAATAAACAGTCAACGAAACATTTACTAATCACTTAAAATGTTTAAGATAATAAATATGGACATTTCCATGATACAGTCGATAATAAATCGTCTTTACTTTAACACTAGGAGCAAATTATTTTCTCAAATCAACAGTTCCTCTTAGTATCTTTGAAATATCACTTAACCAGGAACTTAGAATAACCAGGATTCTAAAGAATGAGTTTAACATCATTGAGATGGCAACCAACAGTGATTTCTGATAACAGTCACCAAACAAATCATATATATGGTATAATTGCTAAGTAACTAAACTATGTATATTCATATTCCACTTATTACAAGCTTTACTTTGACCTATGAACTTAATATAGGATTTACCATTCTTAAGTTATGCCCAGTTTATTAATTACAGTCTTCCACGTTCACAGTCACCTTTGGCTAGATTCTTGTACCAATGTTATTTTCCATTTATAGTGTGATGTGGTTTGTTTGGCTTGCACATAAACCCAGTATATTTGAAATACATAATTCATATCACGGAAACTGAGATTTGTGTTTTGGGCTTAACAGGCAGGGAAAAGGACCAATCGGGACTACAGGCTGTTCGTTCAGGTGTATACGTCATTTGTTGGTCGTATAAGTCCGTGTATCTAAATTTGGCAACCGTATTCGCGATAATCGTACAAGCTAAGGTAATAACACCTTGGACACAAACATCGTGCTAGTTGATACTCATCAAGATGTACGTGAAGAGGATTTGAATGAGTAACAACTAGAAGGAAACCGAATTTCGAAGTTTCAAGTTAATCATCTTCAATTATTTAATATCATGAAATCACTTGTTGTTATTATATCCAGCTATAACTGCACCTCTATTATTAAAATAATAAACCATAAGAGTTGTTCAAATGAATGATTTTATAGAATCATTGTCAATGTTGTCAATTCCTTTAAAACCATTGAAAACATTTTGTTCCATTCAATGAAAGATTTTCTTCACATATTTAAATATATCATTTTATTAAACTAGATGCTTGTTTTCCAAACTCACTTTAGCCGATAATGCAATACTAAGTAATTCTTGATTAGCATCATGGGCTAAATATTTTTTTGGCATCGTAACACGCAAATGCTTGAGAACACCTTCAAAGTCCAAACCGAGTAAGTCACGTCTAGCCAATTGCAATAGTGCTAAAGACACTTTGAATATGAATATCAAACCCTATAATAAACATAGATAAAGGATCATTTTTAAAATACAAATGAAACATCATAAAAACATATACTACTATAGTGTGATAACCTTGACTAATAGAAAATAGTATACCTTTGTCTTCAAAGAAATAGAAAAATACTGGAGGGAAAAGTTCATTTTATTGGGAAAAAGAGGGATGTAACTATCAATTCTTGTATATTATTGGCGAAATTAGTGCAATTTAGAAGTAATTCAATGCTTTATGAATTTATCCAAACAATATAATTCCTAAGTGTGACATGCTTTATAACATTTGTTTAAAGCAATCAGTCCCTTTAATAAATTCGGATAGTTCACTTGGTATTATTTACTTGAATCTTCCCATTGATGTTTAGGACTGCAATTGATCAGTCTCTTATTGGTATATGTGCATACTGTGTGTATTGCCGCGATATGACCTTAATCCACAAGCATTATAAGCAAAGATGGATAGTGGCCAGCAGTGGATAGATTCATCTTGGAATCTAATTGTAATATATTTCTATGTCTCTTTGTAATATCCTCTTGTCCTAGTTATTAACCGTTTTTCGATCGTCGATAAAACTTTGAGTGTTTAAGTTCATATGACCAAGTATCTAGAATCTAGCATATGACATACAAAACACATTTCCCTCCGTTATACCATACGAAAACGATGTTATAAATATGTAAAACATTAAAGGTATTACGTACTTTTAAAAAATTTATAGTATTTATACATTTTAAAAAGAAATGATCATGTATTTAAGTACAACATACCTCAGTTAGAAACAGATCAACAATATGAAAGACAACATTTAATGGAAATTTAGCAGTGAACAATGTTAAAAACCATTGACTAGCGAACATGTGAGTTTCTAAGCCAAGATCACTAAAATGTTTTGCTACATCTGGCAATTGATCCTAATTAGAAAGAAAAATGATCACAGCAAGTGAAGTGAGTGTTTATTATTGCATCAATTCAACCAAAAACAAATCAAAATTACAAAAGCTGATGTAATAATTTATTCACAGTTTAAACGCTCATCTAAAACAGTCTCCCTCTGTAGCTCATAGAAAAGAAGTAATACTTTCTATACTCAAAGTTTATATTTGGTTATAAATAATTTATTGTAACCGTTGGACGACTGATTTCTCATCGTGGTGAGATTACTTCAAGATGTTACATGAATAGTGGTAATACTTATTTATTTAATTTAACACATAGATATTGGTACAAGGAGGCACCAAATACATATGCGCCACACAAATCTCATTCGATATGTGTGAGGGCTGTGATACTGCCCGGGTGCCTAAACCGAAGCAGGTGGTTTTCTTAGGAGGCCACTCCCCAAGCCTTCGACCTGAAGGTTTGATCCACTAGGCAGTGGAGAATCGTAAGGAGATGCAGTCCCATGGAAGCAGGTGACCAACAATTGGTTCTTACGCCATTTGTTCCCGCAGGATACTGGAGCCTATGTGCACCATTGGTTTGGAATCCGGTTAAAGCGCCAGACATTCGCTTTTCGTCCTCTCATTTTCGTAAACAACACCCCCGCCACGAGAAGGCAGTGAGTAGGACTTCCCTGGCAGAGGCTATATACGCGTGGCCATGTGAGAGGATTTGGAGAGGGAGAGCGGACTCTTCCCACTCTCGGCCGTACCAGGGCATTTGGGGGCAGTGGTAATACTGAGTGAATAAAAAGTTCTCAACATACAATTATATCAAATTATTTATATTTTTATCATCACAGCGACACTGTTAGCTATAAAATCTAAAATAAATGAACTACCATTAGATGTATATTTAAAAAAGTCATTTTTATTTTATGCAAATTATTTACCCAAGTAAAGATGATTTATCTACTCAGTTTCGAGACATTCACCAGTTCACGTATGAGAACCAGTGAAACTATTCCGTTGGCAAAAGTAAGTTAGGTATACAGTGGGGTTAAAGTCTGAGATCCAATTAATTGGGAATCGACTGACCTAGACACCAAGTCACACACATTCAATAATGAAAATTAGAAAATAAAAACAAAATCATATTTTGTTGAAATGATGAACCGATCAAAGTTAGACAACCACTGGGAACCTGGAAAGATTAGGCGGTCGTTTCATTTAACTACATGAACGCCCACAGTCCCACAAGCAGGACTCGAACCCAGGATCTTCTGTCTCGTGCGTGAACGTTTAACCAATACAAGGACGAAACACCCGTCCAATGCTTCCAGGCTTTTAATGGTTGTTTTACTTTAGTTTGTTATTACAATGAAATTAAAAAAATTCCACGACCTCAAAAAGACAATTATATTTTACCTGAATAATACGATCCAATTGATATAATCGCATATGTAATCCATCGAAATCATTCAAGAAAAATTCTCTAACTCCATAATTGTTATTCACTTGTACTAATAATGTGAATGCTTGTTCTACTGGCATCTGAAACAAAAAGACAGAATATTCATAAAGAATAATTATGAAAAATTATTCAATTTAAGAAAACAAAGATGAAAGAATTCAATTTATTTGAGTGTCATCTATATTAATAAAATCATCTATAAGTTGTACCCAAAGATACACATTAATACAATTGAGATATTGATACCACTGTGAAATAATAATAATAATAATTAATAGTATTACAATCTAATTTCATATGCTTAGATAATTCTCTTAGATTAAACACATGATTTTAGAGCAAAAGGTACTTAAAAAATGTACAATATTTTGGACACAGTATAAAATAAATCCAATATCACACTTATGAAATATATTTCATGCTAATTTTTAGAAGTATTATACAACCATTCATTCGTAGTATGACGGCTCAGCTTCCAAAATTTGTAATGAAAGATGTTTGCAGATTGGTAGATTAGTAGATGTATGGCCGATCGATTGTAATATACAACGATACGATATGACGAAGTGATGGTTCCTCACTAGATCAAATTATTATTATGAACCGCCAATTGAACATGCATCACTAGATAAGGTCAGATGCTCAGCAGAAGACATTTCTTTCCAATAAAAATAATATTCTTTGTACAACGCATTGACACAAAAACATGATTTTGTTGGTCACTTATCATCCAATGAGTTAAGGCATGACTATCTATCTATTATTGCATCATCGAATCACAAAGTTTACCAAATTCAATTATCAAGTGTGAGTTGATGTACTCGGTTTGGAGTGATACTAAATGTGATTGTTAATGATATCACCCAGTTGAGCGAATCAAAGTAGGTAGAATAGGGTCAAAGCTTGAAATATATTGGTTGGAGGTTGAGAATTTTAATCGATTTTTTAAAATTATCACTGTTACCATGCTTTACCAACAAATGAATGGCAAAATCTAAATTTATTTATTTATTTGAACACATAAATATTGATATAAAGGGGCACCAAATACATATGCGCCACACAAGTCATGCTTTGAGTATGAGTTGTGATACTGCCCAGGCGCCCAGACCGAAGCAGGTGGTTTTCTTAGGGAGCCACACCCGGAGCTTCTAACCTAAAGGTTTAATCTACAAGGTAGTGGAGCAACGTTAGGAGATGCAGTCCTATGGTGCCGGTGGCCAACAATTGGTTCATACGCCATTTGTTCCCTCAGGATCCTGGAGCCCATGTGCACCATTGGTATGGAATCAGGGTCTTCCGACTCCCTTAGGCGGACCCTCCATACACACCAACACTGTTAAAACGCCGAATATTCGCTTTTCGTTCTCCCAATTTTGTAAATAACAGTAATGCCGCGAGAAGGCAGTCAGCAGGACTTTCTTAGCAGTGGTTATGTACGCATGTCCATGTGACAGCATTTCGAGAGGTTGAGCTGCCTCTCCCCACCATCGGTCGTACCAGGGCACTTGGAAGGCTCTAATGTAAATTTGACGATGAAAACTTAGTACTAAAAGCACCTTGCTAATGCTATTGAATGTCAAGACTATGAATCTGTTTGGATGTAAGTAAGCTAGAATGATTTATTACATAGTCGCCATGATAATCTAAAGAAATCACAAACACTATTTTATGAGTAAACAAGGAAAACTTACATGAAGTAATAATACAGCGGCAAAAAATGTTAAACCTTGACAATAACCAACTTCTTCATCGTACAAAGCATAAGCACGACTAACAAGAAAGAGACTTTCCTGTCCAATTTTATCACGGAAGAAACTATGAGCTGGAAATGTGCGTGCTAAATCACGACGTATAACTTCATCATGTTTACATGGCTACAAGAAAAAAAACAATATTCATTTGAGAAAGGCGGTTATATAAAGTGTTACTATGAATCTTGTTGTACTAAGATAGAGAGAATATTTAATCTTGGCGCTCAATAAACACATCCAAATCTGTCTAATCAATCAATCAGATAAATCATGGACAAATATAGGACCAAGAATCAGATCAAAAGTAAGATACAATCAAAATAACGAGGCAGATAATTACTGGTTTGAGGTCAACAATAGCCAATAAAGATCGAGGTGGTTAGAACAAACTGTGAGTCTGATGTTGAGAAATTCAAATACTTTACTTTTACCGGAAGCTTGTCCTGATGTTGTTCAGAAGAACAATAAAAGCTCCACGTCCAAACCACCCAGATTAAAGAAAACCCCACCAAAATCTAAGAGGTTACAGATGAAAAACAGTGGGTTAGAAAATATTGGAGTTATTAGGAAGGAGAAAAACATGTAACTCTGTAATTTGGTTATATTGGTTAGCAAAAGCAGTCATCTGAGTGCCGACCGTTTGCGTGGTAATGAGAAATCAGTGGATAGTTCTTATTCTTACTATTTGGGTGTGATTGGTAATTTTTATCCGCTAATATGAACAATACGACTAATGAAACTATACCGCTGTTCAAACAGAAACATAAAGAGAACGGTTTGATTCTGTAAGATATTGGATGGAAATTAAACGCTTGACACTAAACAGACCAAAGTATTCTTTTGTTGAAGGAAAAAAGTACAACAGAAAAAAAATAATGAAACAATACTACTAGAGTAGCATACTTTAGTAATGAGAATTCGATAAGCATCCATCAATCCACTTTCATCAACAGGACAACCAGATAATAACTGCCAAACTTCAGCTCGTAAGGCATCTGGAATACCACGGCTAACTAGTTTCCTAATTCGTTGACAAAATGCAGAACCTAAATGAGAAATATGAGGACCAGAACAACCACTATACAATAATTCAATTCTCAAACAATATGTAGATAAGCCGAGACCATTAGCTTGATCTTGTCTGACTTTGTTATGCCATTCAGTAACTAAATGTCCCCATTCAAGAAGTAGCTGATCATCTGTAACTTCTCTCGATACAATTCCATTACCGCTCATCAGTGGTTCATTGTCACTATCTAAAATGAAATTTGGTTTATGAGATCAATTTTGTTTTGCAGGTTTTGAAAAAAAAATTAGTTTTTACGAATAAGTTAATAAATGAAAAAAATAATTGAGTTTGGGAGCTGCATCGTGATATTACTTGGTCAGTACATCAGATAAATAGTGAATGGTAATGAATATACCAATATTTATACTGGATCTATAGTACTTTATTTTGATATATTTCATCATTTAGTTTTTATGGTGTGTTAGGAAGCCAACATAAAACTGTGAATTTAAGCAAAAATCAGATTTAAGTGTTGTATATGTTCTCATAAGTAATGGTAATCAAATATATCTATCTGTGTATACAGAATTCACTCAAAAGAATCATATGGAAAACTCCATAGATTATACAAGTTGTGTTGTAGATCATATGGATTCTCCATATATCATGTCTATTCTGATAATAACAATCCACTGAACATTTTTATCAAGTTTGACAAGTAGTTACGAAAATAACAAACACTGAAGAATCAACGGATGAATATTAATTTTCAGCTTTTCTGGCTACTCAAAAAAAGCAAACAACCATATTAATTCTCAAAATAACTACCTTATAGAACAAGAGGTATGAATTCACGAAGAAACTAAGCTCTTCAACAATTCTTCAATCTTATCATTTCTTTTACACCAGTAATTGTAATGCCTACTGATGTCATTGTTAAAAGTCACAGCTGTTACTACTGAACTAAATAGCATGCTGTCATCACCGTAGGATTTAATGAGAGATTAAGACTAGAAACATGGATCAATAATCAAGATATTATTCACAGCACAAAATAGATTTTAAAAAATCTTTACAAGTGTAATAACTATTTTAATAGAAAAAATTATCATATCGTAATGTACTTTTTTTGCTGTCCAGTATAATTTAGTTGCAAGGTAAAACTGAAAACAGTGCTCTCTACAAAGTTTTAGTGGAAAAAACAAACATCGAATGATCAATAAAAAATTTCTGAATTGTGTGTGTGATCATTGGAATGAAGGTTAAAAGAGAAAAGAAATAAGTTAAAATGCTTTAAGCGAATATTTCAGTGATTTTAGCTCAGAACAAACATGAAGGCGCAGCAGAGAGAGAGACAGTAAATAATATCACTAAACAACGGCAAAAAACCAAACAAATTGCTTCACACAGAAGTTCAACTAATAATGTTGCTTGTTTATAATAAGACTGAATAAGTATTCATATTCAACGGAAGTCTAGCGACATGATGTTTTACTAGTTCTATTTACTATATTAAAAAACGACTTTGTAAGTAAACGAGATTCAACATATATGACAAATCCGACAAAATAAAATTAGAATATTGATAATTGGGGTAAGAGGAGTTATACATAACAGATTTGGTGGATCTTTTAGTAAACTTTAGATGATCTTGAATCTTCGTAAAAATCAAACTAGAATATAATTTATTGTATTTTTAGTAACGTGAGACAATTAAGTAACACTACCTTCTTGTTCAATTTAAGTATAAGCTTAACATCATTATAATTTATTACACAGTGCCATGTCTTAAATTAACTGTCCTCCAGCGAAGCGAAATGAAGCGCGGTGGAGAAGTCATGTGAGCCAACTCCATTTGATCAAGCGTTAATCAATATTTATAGCCGGATAAAAATAAGCCACAGAAATGTGATGAATGTGATAAGAAGTGTACACACACATATGCTCGTATAGTATAAAATCAGTCAGGGTTGATAAGTTAATGATTAACAAGGTCAAACCGTGACACAAGTAGGATGGATAAACTGGCCTGTCCAGAAGATAGAACAAATCATATGGGCTTAACATAGTAACTGAGACTACATGTCAAGTATACATTTTCCGGAGTTGAAGGATAAAGCCTCTGATCCCAGTGGGAGGTTAATTGACTGGTGCCAGCTGTCGAGCTCCCGACGGATGTCACTGAATCCGCAATTTTCGTCCCATATCGTAAAAGTATCATATATATATCTCTTGTATATATGGGAACAGTCGACTATTTATCAAAGTACGGTATTCTCAGATTATTTTATGAAACAGTCATCTATAAGTGACTCCATCGATGCTTCAACATTGTCGATCATAATCATTATGAAACCTGGACTTTACGTTGAAGGTTCATCGTAGAAGTAGTTACCATAGATAGTATTCCGGGACACGAATATCGTCGGTTTTTACTTTTGACATAGTCATATAAGAAATATCTTCACGAATGAGACATTTTTGATAAGTGAATCAAAATTAAGTAATACCTTTCGATTTTCGGACATATTGATGTTAATTACTGAATCAACAGAATCTATTAAGCTGATGTCTTACTCGTAGCAAATTTTTAGACAAGTAGCACTTGCAAGGTATAGAGAACTATTTATATGTAGAAAAGAGTATGAGGAAACATCTTTATTATGCATGTTTGAGAAACCATATAACTGTGGAAGGACAAGATCCAGACGGTTCAAGGTGTCCGAAAAGGTCAAAACTGATGATTTGTTTATTGAATCAGCACATAATTCTTTTCATAGGATGCAGTAGTTGTGATTTGTATTCTCCTGACAATAGTTGCTTGGTTTTTGATATTCTTATTTGTGCATTTATTACAAAAGTGTACATGGGCCATTTTCAAATGCTCGAAATCTCTGTTACAGACTAAGAAATTACTTGTCTGACAAATTATTACGATTTTTACAGATGGCAAAACCTCAAGAAATCAGGGTAATCAGACGTTAAGGCATTAAATAAAAAATCAGTATGACATCAAGGCTGCCTTCGATTCTTTGCACAGGACTGTTCTCTGGGATTGTCTATCGGGAAAGGGTGTGCCTGAGATTTTTAACAGCTTGAAAGCCTTCAGACAGAGTGAGGGCATACAACCACCTCTTTCCACTGTTCCATTCAAGCAATAAGGTTGACCAATCTAATCCTTCCTCTTCAATTTAGCCATCGATGACATTCTGGAAACAGCTCTGATGGATGTAAGTAATGGTGGTGTGGATCTGTTGTCTGGAGAAAGATTCCTCGACCTTGAGTATGCGGATGATATAAGCTTACTGTGCGATAATATCCAAGCCATGCAATCCGCACTTAATCAGTTGGCAATCAGTGTCCGTAGGTAAGCTATATGCTTTGCACCTTCGAAGTGCAAAGTACTTCTACAAAACTGGCAGGATCCTGATCCTGCACTCACCCTGGATGGCAAGCAGATAGAAGTAGTCGAGAAGTTTGTGAATCTAGGTAGCTGCGTAAGTGCTGGAGGTGGCGTGAGTGATGAGATCAATGCACGTATAGTGAAAGCCAGAGTGGCTTATGCCAATCTGGGCCACCTTTGGCGCCTTCGTGATGTTACTCTGAGTGTAAGACGACGCACCTAAGATGCGTCGGTTAGAGCAGTTTTGCTCTACGCTTGTGAAACCTGGCTTCACCGAGTCGAGGATGTTAGACAACTCTCTGTGTTTGATCATCGTTGTCTCCGAAGGATTGCTGACATTCAGTGGCAACACCATGTTAGTAATGGAGAGATTCGGCATCGTGTGTTCGGGCGCAGCGACGATAATTCAGTTGGTGTCACCATCTTGAAACATCGAATTCGATGGCTTGGACATGTTCTACGAATGTTATCCTAGGGAATTCCACGTCGTGCATTATTTTCTGACGCTCGGACTAGTTGGAAAAAGTGGAGAGATGGTCAGTGTATGACGATGTGTCGTGGTATGAAAGAAAGCTGCAAAGGACTGGCATCTGTTGGACCTTCACGACTCCCTGGTTGGGGTCCTAGAGACGTTGCAACACAGTGGGTAGAGACGTTATCAGATATGTTTTAGAATAGAAGTCAGTGGCGACCCTGCTGTAACTTTCTTCTACTTTCTTCATAAAAAATGGACGTTACTGCTTTATCTGGAAGAATTCTTTCTGGTTGTACCTTTTATAATTGAACTGCTCCTCCCATTATTATTATTTCACTATCACACACTAATTTCTGTTCGTGTTGGTTCTCATTTTTCTTATACACATCTTACATTCTTTATCTCTTCACATTCTCACTGTTATTGTGTTGCCCATATGTATCTGGTGCCCCTTTATACCAATATTTGTGTTCAAATACATAAATAAAATAACAAGATAAACAAATAACACAAAAGAGCAAAATAAAGTGAATAAGAATATGATGATACGATGTTTATCGTTAAACATAAAAAAATATTTGTATACTAATATGAATGATTTTCAACAAAGTACGATAAGTTTTGAAATAAGTTATCAAATTTCATATTCGCCTGCATGAATTGAACGTACAGTCAATGGCTACTATAAAGCGGTGACAAATTTGAGTAAATTTAAGAGAAAATTTCTCTCACTTAATCTTATCCAAATTAAAATGAAGCAGTGAAATAACAAGTCAACCAACATAAATGATACATACTCCGTTTACTTTATTTGATAAACTTATTCAAGTTTACCAATTAATCTACACATTCTATATAAAGATTACCGCCCTTACTTTACTACTCGATAATAAATCAAATGCATCAGTGATTAACTACCTGTAATCATTTTATACTATATCGCTTGAGACGTCAACTCCGCCTGTAGCTCTTCCAGAGTTACTGCCCGTCCCAAGCCCAGGTAAAGGAGGAGGGTTGGGCATGGGGATAGCGTCCCCATTCCGTCGTTGGTGAGTTGACATCTATAGGAAGATCTATGGGTGTGCTGCTTCGATTTCCGGTGGATTCATTGGAGCCGGCCTATTCAGGAGTTCCTCGAAGTATTCTAACTCCGCCTGTAGCTCTTCTAGAGTTACTGCCGGTCCCAAGCCCGGGTAAAGGAGGAGGGTTGTGCATGGGGTTAGCGTCCCCATCCCGTAGAAAACTAACTCGCTAAAAAATTATTCAAACCATTTTAACTCTGCCCCGAGAGTTAGAAGGTCTTCATTTAGAAGAATTATGACGCTTCATGGTCAAAGCCGAGTTTCTTCGGAAGCCACGAGGCCGATGCCCCTTCTAACAACCAGAGCAACAATTTTTATAGGTACATGGAACGTCCGAACAATGTGGGAGACCGGGAAGACCAGTCAAATAGCAACGGAAATGAGGAGATACAACTTGGCAGTACTGGGAATCAGAGAAACCCATTGGATCCAAGCTGGACAACAAAGGCTAAATACGGGAGAGATGCTACTATACTCCGGTCATGAATAGGAAAATGCTCCACACACTCAGGGCGTTGCTCTAATGCTGTCCAAAGTAGCATGAAATGCACTTGTAGGATGGGAATCTAACGGATCCACAATCATCAAAGCATCATTCAAAACAAAGAAGGAGGGGATCTTAATGAATATTATCCAGTGTTATGCACCCACCAATGATAGCCACGACGACATTAAAGATCAGTTCTATGAGAGGTCGCAATCAATCATAGCGAAGTGCCCAAGAAAGGATCTCACCATTCTGATGGGAGATCTAGACGACAACACCGGATATGAAGATATCATGGGACGACATGGACTGGGACAGAGAAACGAAAATGGGGAAAGCTTTGCGAATCTGTGTGCATTCAACAAATTGGTCATAGGGGGCACAATATTTTCACACAAATGTATACACAAGGCTACATGGATCTCACCGGACCACACTACAGAGAACCAGATAGATCATATCTGAATCAATAAAAAATTCCGAAGAACAATGGAAGATGTGAGAACCAGGAGAGGAGCTGATATAGCTTCAGATCACCATCTAGTTGTGGCCAATTTAAAACTGAAGCTAAAGAAAAACTGGACAACTGGATAAACAACACTACAAAGGTTCAATACAGCCTTCCTTCGAGATACCAACAAAATCAACGAATTCAAGATAGCTCTCAACAACAGGTTCCAAGCCTTACAAGATCTACTGAAAGAAGAAGAAACTACTATGGAGGACAACTGGAAAGGTATCAAAGAAGCATTAACTTCGACGTGTCAAGAGGTTCTGGGTCTAAAGAAGCACCATCATAAGGAATGGATCTCTACAGAAACACTGGACAAGATCAAAGAAAGGAAGAACGAGAAGACAGCAATTAATAACAACCGAACACGAGCAGAGAAAGTCCAAGCACAAGCTGAATACATAGGAGCAAACATGCAAGTGAGGAAGAGCATTAGAGCCGACAAGAAGAAATACGTGGAAGAACTAGCAACGACGGTGGGAAAAGCTGCAAGGGAAGGAAATACGAACCAACTTTACGATACAACGAAGAAACTAGCAAGGAAATACAGTAAACCAGAGAGACTGGTCAAGGACAAAGAAGGCAAGCCAATCACTGAAATTCAACAACAGCGGAACAGATGGGTAGAGTACTTCGAGGAACTCCTGAATAGTTTGGCTCCAATGAATCCACCGGACATCGAAGCAGCGCACACAGATCTTCCTATAGATGTCAATCCACCAACGACGGAAGAAATCAGAATGGTCATCAGATAAATCAAGAGAGGGAAAGCAGCATGACCAGACAATATACCAGCTGAAACTCTGAAGTCTGACATCGAAGTAACTACAAGCATGCTTCACCTTCTATTCAAAAAGATTTGGGAGGAGGAACAAGTGCCGATGGATCGGAAAGAAGGACACCTCATCAACATTTCAAAGAAAGGACATCTGAGCAAATGTGAAAAATACAGAGGCATCACACTACTGCCAGTACCAGGGAAGGTCTTTTAACAGTGTTGCTGAACTGGATGAAAGATGCGGTAGACGGTCAACTTTGAGATCAAAAGGTTGGATTCCGTAAGGATCGATCATTCACAGACCAAACTGCGACACCATGGGTCATCGTTGAACAATCAGTTGAATGAAACTCGTCACTATACATCAACTTCATTGACTATGAGAAGGCGTTTGACAGTGTAGATAGGAGAATGTTATGGAAAATTCTTCGACACTATGGAGTTCCTGAGGAGATTATCAACGTTATCTGGAACTCACATGACGGACTACAGTGCAAGGTCATGCATGGAGGACAGCTGACAGACACATTCCAAGTAAGGAACGGAGTCAGACAAGGCTGTCTACTCTCTCTCTCTCTTACTCTTTCTTCTGGTGGTCGACTGGACTATGAAGACCTTGACATCCAAGGGAAAACATGGCATACAACAGACAGCTCAGAACCAGTTAGACGATTTGGACTTCGCAAATGACCTGGCCCTCATATCGCATACACATGAAAAAATGCAGATACAGACAGCCAGTGTAGCAGCAGTTTCTGCATCAGTAGGCCTCAACATACACAAGGGGAAAACAAAGGTCCTCAAATACAACACGGAGAACAGCAATCCAACCACTCTTGATGGCGAAACTCTGGAAGATGTAGAATCCTTCACATAACTGGGAAGCATCATCGATGAACAAGGAGGTTCAGATGCAGACGTAAAGGCGAGGATTGGCAAAGCAAGGGTCACATTCCTTCAGTTGAAGAACATATGGAACTCAAAACGACTGTCAACCAATATCAAAGTGAGAATCTTCAATACGAACGTCAAGGCAATTCTACTGTATGGAGCTGAAACTTGGAGAACTACAACAACCACAATCAAGAAGGTACAAGTATTTATAAATAGTTGTCTACGCAAGATACTCAACATCCATTGGCCGGATACCATCAGCAACAGCCTTTTGTGGGAGAGAACAAAGCAGCTTTCAGCTGAAGAAGAAATTAGGAAAAGACGATGGAAATGGATAGGACATACACTACGCAAATCGTCAAACTGCATCACGAGACAAGCCCTAACTTTGAATCCTGAAGGAAGGTGGAAAAGAGGAAGGTCAAAGAACACATTACGTCGGGAAATAAAAGCAGATATGGAAAGGATGAACAACAACTGGAAGGAGCTGGAAAGGATTGCCCAGGACAGGGTTGGATGGCGAATGCTGGTGAGCGGCCTATGTTCCTTCACGAGGAGTAACAACAGGCGTAAGTAAGTAAGTAAGCAAGCTTGAGACGTCACATTTCAAAAATATCTAGTAAAAGACACCAAAGTATATTTTTGATAAATTGGTAATAACTTGAAAACATACCACACATAGTAGTTGGCAGAGTAATATACACTTTAACCGTACCTAGTAACTTCCCTTTCACACACCCTACGAAAATATATCACATTTTAAGTAAACTCTCAAAGTTAATCTAAGTTAATTTAATTACCAAAGAAAATTTGATTGACCACATGATTTGAGTAAACTGAGTACAGAAAAAAGAATTAGTGATTTAAGTTTACACACCATTTAACACATGGCATTTCACTGATTAATAATTAGTTCAAAATAATAAAATGATGGACTGGAAAATATCACAGATGCAAAGAACTAATGAATGTTTCTCAGTAGAACAAGACTATCCCGTTGCTGATTATGAGTTACTTGAAACAACCAAAAAAGACTACAAACCGATAAATGTATTCTGATTTTTGTTTATACAGTAGAAAAGTACAAACCTGGTAAACATTGAAGTAATAGCAAACGTGTAATATATCATTTCCCATAAAACTAATCTTAGTTGACAGTAGGAAATTGATCTTTTTCTTCCAAATGGATTACAACTACAAATATGAAATGTTGATCTCTGTCATTAAGAAAGAATAAATTTTTTAAATTCCATAATGATCAGAACTAGGGCAATATTGTGCAGTTAGGTAGAAGGACAGATTTCTAATTACAATCATTACTACAAGACCTACATTTTTAGGGCGTTTTTTTCCAAAATGAATTTAAAGACTTCATGATCAAGAAATCGAAACACAAGAAACCTTGAACTGATTGATCCTGATTAGTAATTGATTTATTGTTTAATTTTTAGGGCTGATTGAATTATATAGATTGTATTTACAATTTGAATAATAGACTAAGTGATTCAAACAGAATTTCCTGATGTATATAAATCATTAGAAAAATGCATCTGCAATCTTGAAGTGTGTGATGGTTTCTCAGATATTTAAAGCAACATCATTTAATGTCTCAATTAAACCTATGCAACTCAATGAAAGTCAATGAAAATTTTTACCATAACTAAGCGGTCATAAAAGAGGAAAATCTTAAAAGGTAGAGTTAACAAACCATACATAACACTATGATCGTGTAGCACGTAAATTTCATACATTAACTAATAGTACAAGATTGATAAGCACAAAAAACTACAGTTGAAAATATTGACCATGTAAAATGAAATATTAAGGTCACTACTATTGTTATTAGATCTAATCCAGGTGAAATATGCAAATCATATGCATTAGTAGATGGAAAATGAATACAAACAATAAGAAGTATAGTAATAATATTGTTATAATGAGTACTAAGTTAATTTATTATTGGTCAACTAATGATTAAAATTTACCTTCAGCTTGATTAACAACTGATGGAACAATTGATTGATTATGTTCTGGATGAAATGCAGTAACATTGAAAATTTTCTGTATTTTACCAGCGTGTAAATTTCCGTTTTCATCTATACTCTAAAATGATAATTTGTTTTTTGTTTTTAAAAATGGTTATTCGAAATCTAAGAGTAATAAAAAAACTGACTAGAATAATGAATAGAAAAGTTGTAAATTGAGATACTTAAATGTAACTCATCATTAGATATGAGAGTTAGTGAAACTAATTTTGTTGCTAATACTGAAGTAGTTGAAGCCAATTTCGAATACATTTATCATTAAGTCAGTCAAAACGATATGAAGTGCTAGAAAGTTTTAAACTTCATCAACCATTATCGGCCTCTTGCAGTGAAAGCTATCTCTAAATAAATATTAGTAGTACTGAAGTCAGCCTAAATGAATGCATTAAAAATGAGGTTAGAAATATTTTAATTAATAGCCACAGATTACGTTTTTTGGATGTATGTTCTTTCCAGAGAGTATATAAAAACTAACCAAAATGAAGAAATCCAAACTAGTAGTAGAAGACAACTGTTCTCGAAAAATTTACTTTAAGCTTTCGAATTGCTTAGCTAAATACACTAATGACCTTGACTCATCATATACTTTAACTTTTTTCAAAGTTATGACAAGATTTCAGGGTATATGGCAATTACGATCCCATACGGCTCTATTTCCATTTCTTAATATATACATCTTGAAGTAAAATTTAAAGAGAAGAAACTTAATATTTCTTAGACAAACGTTTTAGTAACAATACAATAACAGTCTATGATCTTTGGGTATCATGTTAGGAAATTTCGGGGTATTTTGAAAATATTTAGCTTAACAATCCCAGAGTAGATGACTATGAAGTGAGTGCAAAAATTAACGAGTATGCACTTAGTAATACTACTATATGGTAAAACACAGTAGGTTAAACAGCTCATGTAAGATATGATAAAGAAGCGATCCGATTTACATACGTAATTTTCTTAAAACGAGCTTATAAAAACCTTCATTTTTACAATGATTGCCGAAATTCGAATAAATACTACTGCTAAGACTGACACGAAAAATTTGGTCCTTCAAATAGAAAACATTACACTATTAATCCGTTTATTTTTCAATAACAAGCTTCCTTCGACTAAGCCTGAAAGTAAGTTCTGTTTATTTCGTGGAATCAATAAGAAAATCCATTTGCGCAACATTCAGCATCCGTAAAGTTTAAAACAAATGATGAAAATTAAGAATATCTTAGAAATCTAATCATTTGATTGTAAGCTAGAAATGTATTTTGAGGATAAGATTTAAACTTGAGCGAGTGAACTGTATTTTGAAATTTTGAGTAGTTGATCAGAAATTTAGTGACTAAATCATTGAAACACACCAATGAAATGTTCAATACTCATTTGTCTAGTTGACACTATTTTAAATAATATGGTGTAATCAGTTATCAACAAACGAGTCCGTTTTTCTTGAATTTTCAACTACCTACATTGGGTTTTTCATTTACACCGTAATATATGACAAACATGTTGATACAATAAAGCAAAGACTCAAAATCAAATACGAAAACATCTGTTAATATCAACGGCATATAATTAGTACAAAATACAAACCTCAGTTAATTTAATAGTATAATCTTCTATAACAGGTTTTCTATCTAAAGAGAGCCAAAATATTTCATCTGTTTTATAAACACGCGCTCGGCAGATTCGTCGCAGAGCTAATGGTTCTTCAAGTCTATGGATAAGTAGGCGTACAACAACCGTGAAGAATATACATTCATCTACAGAAAAACATATGATAGAAGAAAAAAGTGTTAAAATTTCGGCTTCATTTCAACAAAAATATTGAGGTCAATTTATGACATGCGGATCATTTAAATATAACTTAATGTTTATTAAAACTGAAAATATATAATCTAAGTAAGAGCACGTAGTCTTTTATTTACATAACGGAACATTGTACAAAAAGTTTGGTTTAATAAAATAGTTGATACTTTTTTTGAGAACAACTATTTCTTGAAGTGACACAGTATTTCAGATGGGGGAGTTAAAGCATTCGACTTTCAACCATTGAATTTCAGGTCTGAACCCCGCTGAATTTGATTTAGTTAGAGCAACTAGTCAGTATTATCAGGCTACATATAAGATGTTCGGCTTGAACCTAATTACACCAATTTGTACTTAATTGCTAACTTCCTATTTAAAACCGTAATTATGAGCTCTACTTTGTTAGCTATAGTAAAGCAGATGGGAAATGTGATACTCATGTAGTTCACCAATAAAATATCGATTGCATTTTAACCGACATACGCTAAAAAATGCAGGATTGCTATAGCATGATGGTTAATCACGAAATTTTTGTGGTATGAATACTTAGTCTTAAAATATTCAGAATTTATTCACTTCTTTTAAGTTGCACAGGGTTTTGGAGATTGTTGAATTACAAGAAATCATGAACCTGCTTAAGTTAGACCACCATCTAAAACCTCAGAGCATTGAAAGACCATTTCGTCCTAGTATAGGACTTTTCAGTGGTGCGCATCCAAGATTCTAAACGCGCAACTCGAACACAGGACCTTCGGTCTTGTACACGAATGCTTGACCGCTAAACCATTGAGTACACATTCAACAATGTTAATGTCTAACTTCAACAAATCCATGACATTGCACCACCATTTTTCATGGACTTTGGTGGGTAACTACCTTACAATCGACACAGTTTAGCTCTACATGTGACGGTTTTGCACAATAAATCCGGAAATGTTTTCTCGAAGTTAGTCACCAGTGAGCAAATGATGATTATCGGTATGGGGTTGGGGAGATTGTTGAGTAGTAAAGAAAACTCATAACTGTACAAATTACAGTATGCTAAACTGTAACGAAATAATTAGCACAATCTTTAACTAGTATATACGAAAGAAACATAAAAGATGTACATAAATTTAGGGATCATCTAGTTTCAAAGAAAATTCACAACAACCTTCAGATTTTTACTTTTCTAGTAAGTGAGAAAAGAAACAGTATGGTGTTCTTTTAGACTTTCAGTAATATTTTACAACTTAACTCATAAGCTCCAATTCTAAATGATGGTTGAATACTGAAATATTAATTTTCACTGATAGCATCTTACCATGGGCAGAAACGGTGGGAAAATGATAATAAACGTTTTATAATGGTAAGTTTCGGAAACAAGTTTATAAGCAAATGTTGTTCAACGTGGAAATTTAACGAAGGTTGACTAAAAAAGAGACTGGTATATACGCTCATTAGGAAAACTACGAAATACCATAGACGTATCGTCAAAATAAACAGTCAATGCAAATATAACTATATAATTTTCATAATCGACCTGAAAAATACATATAAATCAACAAATGAAGAACTAACCACGACTTCCAACGACATCAAACATAGAGAATTGATTATGATTTGATGGCCAAGTAACCCAAGTAGAAAATGAAGTTCCGCTTAAAGAATTAGATGATGCTTCTCCTCGTGTGACATTTTCTTCGCCTCCCAAATAGGTTAGTTCACTATCCGATAAATAACGACCAAAACCCAAACATACGTCTAAAATTCTAGATGATATAAAAATGATTTAATGTATGTCATATACATACGTTGTAAACCATGAGAAAAAATATCCACACTTTAAAACTGATCATTATGGAATTAATATTTTCAGAATTTTATGGTGGAATAAAATAGCACAGTCTTAGTGTTAATATGTAATATGTAAATTTTAAACTAGATTTTTACGATCACAATATTTGCATAAAAATATTATAGAAAAGATATCTACAGTAGCCTACCGAAATCATATTGCTTAAATAGATAATGGTATCGATGCTTAGAATTTTTCAAATTACGTTTTATTATTGTGAAAACCGGTTATGAATTATGATTTTAAAACTTCAAGGTTTTAAAATATGATTAATCTCACAGTTTTAGAAAGCAAACTAAAATGACCATTATGTTTGCAGCTTGCTTCTAGCAGTGAACTTTGTGGATGCAGAAAAGGAACTGAAGACTAAAGCATCTCAGTGTACACAAGATTACACAAACAGTCCATTTGACTTAAGCATATTTGAATATGAACTCTAGCATATTCATTTTGATATTTCCTCGTTATTTTATTTTATGACATGAACGTTTCATAAACATTATAGTCTTAATTCGTTATAAAGTGTGGGATTTATTAAGTCTTTCCAAGCCTACTGTTAATAAATTCATTCATTTTATGTTTATAAAAAGTTCATTATTAATTATTTTACACTGATTTTACTAATTTGGGCTTAAATAATGACTTGTTCGCATTAAAAAGGATTCGATGTGTCAGTATATTAGAGTAACCATTCTTTATTTGAACCCTCAACTAAGTGAACATTAGTATTCATTTACTATTGGGGTCGATAAACATATCACGAACAAATTATTACCCCAGGACATCCTAATAACAATAATAGTGATCAGCTGCAGTAGTTAAGTCGACATTTTATAAAGAAAATTTTGAGGGATAGATAAATAGAACAGCTTTCTTATGAATACTTACGTCACATACAACAATCTGACCAGTAACTTTGTCGTAGCACAATGAATTCGAATAGTTTATAAGTAAGGATTTCAAAAAAAGAATAGTGTTCTAAATATCAAATAAAATAACTGAATTAATAGATCACAAACAAATCCCAGTTAAGATTTACTAGGCATCTACAAAATTTCATCTTTGGATAAACTAACTCATGTATTTATGACTATTGACCATTATCAAATCACGTAATAAGTTGGAAATGATTTTAAAAAAATCTACTAACCCATTTATCGGTAGATAAACATGACCGTCTAATTGACTGACACCAACAAATAGTCGTTTAGCTGTGCTCTTTCTCATTTTAAATAATTCCGACTTTTCTTTTGGTACAGGAGTAAAGTTAACACTCGATCCATCATCTTCTCTTATATCCAAATGTAAACGTAAACTAGATCATGTTTATTAAGGTTGAGAATTAAATATAAGGGTAGACAATATGGGAAAGAATCTTTTATTATTCAAACTACAAATAAATTCTTGAAGTTAACAGGAAACAGGTACTAGTGATGTAGAACTTGTTAATCATGTAAATAGGCATTGCCAACTTCATCAAAGAGAAGCAGTTTAAAATCGAAAATTAGAATTAATATTGAGTACTAAGCAGTGTTTGGTCACTGTATTGGGTTTAGTTCCAAATGGTTTACTTATAACATATGTTTGACTATGGAGTAGGATTATATGACTCGGGAATTTTAAGGTGGTAATACATTTCTACGATAGATTGTAGGTGGGTTTCATTGACAAGTTCTTAAAAGCACGAGAGCCAACTCAAAAGTCTTGATCAGAAAAAAGGCTGTATAACCCATAGGTCTTTTAAAATAAGGTCAAATAATAAGATTCCAATATAAGGAGAATGGTAATATGAATGCGTAACGAATTAAATAACTGGTTATCTACAGGTGTATCTTGATTTGCAAAGTTAATCAATTATATGAGCCTTCAAATACCCGTAAAAAAACGAAAATTATCATCAATATACAAAATGTTTGGTCATGGAGCTTAGACATGTTTCGACTAGATATCTAACAAGACGTTAAACCCCAATGATTTCATATGGAAAATAGCAAAGCAATCGAATCTAACGTCTTGAAAATCCCTATACAGTGTTCGAATGTAGGAATATCGATCGATCGGTTATTCAAAACCAGAATCCCAGTTAATAGTAAATGAATTCCTGAGGCTACTGAGTACATAGTAATAAGGCTCCTATTTCGTTCTTACAAGGATATAATATTCTTGATATCATATAGGTTTTTCAGCATTCTAAGGGTGGAAATGACTTACGTAACACTTTGAGGCTCCCACACACCTGAAATAGTAGCAGTGGATCCAGTTTCTTCAGTAATGATTCGACGGATGACATCGATTATCCTCAACGTCTAAACAAAAATTCGAATTGTAATTTTAATGGCGAAGAAATTAACGTTACTTTTTTCAAAAAGGAATTGAATTAAACAAAACTTTTGAAACTAGTTTTACTTCATACAAACATCATGACTCTTGAATTTTAACGTATCTCTTTACTTTTAGTGATTATGAATCGAACTAAAGAGGTAAATGGAAAAATCTTTTAAAACGTGGATTATCTTTTTCTGACAAACATTCGGTTTGAGTGAAGAAAAGCAATGGAAAACAAATTAACTCATCAACCAAATATTGGAATACGAGTCACACTCTGAGCGTGAGGGACAGTGATACTAGCCTACTACCTAAACCAAAGTAAGAAGGGATCAAGAAGACTGTATTTTGAAGGAACTGAAAGTCCTGGGTATCTAAATAAACAAAAGGCGGTGAGAGGTTTGGAACTGTGATATTGGTTTTTGACTGACTTTATAGATCATAGAGCAATGACGTCATATTTCTATGGTACCTGTTGAACGAACTATTTAGTATCTGGTCTTGTATGTTGATGGACAAAAAGAGAACCGCCTACTGCTGTCCCTAGTATTTGATAAATTTTCTTCACACCATAAAAATATTCCAATGGTTGACAACATGAGTCAATCGAAGCTAAACAACCATGGTTGGGAAAAGGAGTCACTAAATCGATCGACAGAACTATCTTTTCTCCCTTAGTAGATAGTGAACATTATATCAAAATAGAGGAAGCTTTCTCTGTTTTATATCAAGTTTCAAAATATCTACCTCAAGGAGCTAGATTACGGTTACTCTAAATAGCCGAATCCATCTTGATCAACTCCAGAAAACCGAATTTATGTGTCCAGAGAAGGTATATCCAGCCTATAGGTGTACCTTGGCCTATGACTGGATCACTGAATACCTAAACTGAACCATTGAAATTACTGTAATATCCACAAAAAGCCCTTGCCATATAAATATGTTGACTAGATCTCTCAAAAGGCTGAATACTTCAATATTGATAGAAAATAGGCGCGACTTATGCTACAAAAGTTTCTGATACGACCACACACAAAGCTCCTTTAGGTATAATAGCAAAATTTATCTAAATAAATCTAAGAAGAAAAGCCGAGTGATGACAATTCTAATTTAGACATAACTTTGGCTTGTTTCCACTGCAGTTACTATATTCACCACGTACCAGAATTTGTGAACCAAAACTATCGTAAGCAGTTTAATCACAAACAGGTTACACTTGAAAGTTTACATTGCAAAACGAGAGAGGTAACAAAAATATTTTTAGAGTTACCCCATGATATGTTGGACAACGTAATATATGTGTTAGGTACATGTTTAATGGCTCTTCTGAAGACGGGTCTATCGCTTCGTTATTTGATGATGAAGTACCGTGAGTTAGTAAAACATAATTTGCTGTTGCGGTGTCGGATCCCTTTGACAAGTTTTTGATCTCATTAAGTGGGAAACAAATTAATTGTTCATTGGCAACTGAATCCGTAACGCTAGAAAAAAGTGAGATAAAATAACACAAAGAAGGAAGTCTAGTGGTCGGGAAAGTAACGGACTAATGAGTAAAAGTGGCAAATGTTCCTAACAAAATAGTTTTGATAATGAAATGAGGTAGTTCAGCGAAATCGTGTATAGTTAGTTACACATGATAAAGTGACACAAGTAAACTGCGCAGGTTATAATTAATAAAGTAGAGCTACTAGATGAGATTCCAAATGAAAAATGAATGCAAAAAGATCTTCGAGTGAAATGAACTTACCATAAAATCCCCTCTCTGTTGGTTGGAATTGATATATTTACGACAGTGAAACAGTCTGTCGAGTTGTTTTCAAGAACATGAAAATATTTGTTTACTTCAGTTTTGTTCCATGACGACATATCGATATTTGGGGAAAAAAATTGGATGTCTTCGAAATAAATGCATCGAGAGTCCGGACCGTTCGTTTTACCAGGTGAAGGAGTCGGATTCATATCGCAGTTTCGGATTATTTTAGGTAAGAACTTGAATATTCTCCTGATCGCCTACAGGAACCGGATGATTCGAATAACTACCTTTAAGGAAGTTAAATGATACGAGTTAGCAAGCTGTCGCGAAGAGAAAACGTTATTCCAAATAACCACCGAATTATAATAATGAAATTCGATTAACTGAAATTAACACCAACCACTTCATCACAATACATTACTTAAGAGCATCACATTACAAAAATTCGGAGTGTCTAGTATTTACAATCACAGCAACAAATGTTTAGAATATTTGCATCGAAATGCACAAACAAAAACATGTATTCACTAACCTACAAATCTAAGCAATTGAATAGAGATATAAAAACACATAATGCTTTAGTGAATTTTATAACCAATTTTAAGCTAGCATATTAATATGAAATAGAAGTTTACGTCACAACTCAGCTCCCAGTGTCCTTGCTATTTACATTAACTGTTCATTGGCTTCCGTTGTGAATAAAGCAGCATGTTGATAAGCATATCGAGTAGATTAGAATTTGCACAAGCATTAGGAGATGCGTATGGTGAAGTCTTAATTTTTAGTATTTTTAACAAAACCAAATAGTAAATAACATAAAGGTTTTATTTTAGAGTTACGAATTTACGCCACATAAAGATTTATCGACACCAATTATGAACAGTTTACTTTAGGTAATTAAGTTCGTTTTAACTTGACAAGATAAAAGTGATCGTAATCAATTTAACAATTACGACATTAATTTGAACTTTGACCCAAAGAACGGCAAGACGGACATAGCATAGTCGATTCAACCTCAGTCATTCAGAGAAAGTGCTGTTTCTGGTTAAAAAAAACTTCTTAATAAAGTAAAGTTCAGGGCAAATCGACAGGGATTTTGCCTAAAAATAACGAAATATATAATTGAACAAGTTGTACCCCACTAATAAATGGTCTGTCCTAAATCAACCAAAAGGATTAAACGGAGAGTTACAATTGTAGTATGATTTGCTGCTGCTAATGAAATCAAGAAAAATATCCGTTTCAATAAGCCTCGCAGAAAATAAAATTATACTGAAATTTAAGACTGTTGCAGCACTAAAAGTTTAGATACTTAGTTTCTGGGAATATAACTTAGATTTCTGAAAAAAGAACATTTTGGCACTAACTCCACTCATACACCAGACAATACCAGGAGCTTAGATCCTTTTTGACAGTTAGGTACCGTACGAGCCAATCTCAGCGCTATTAACTAAGCTTTGAATATATGGTTTAAGATCCAATGTAAATGTATTTGTGATGAACTTATATAAAGCGACCAGTTTCTTAGCTCTCGTGTTTTTTGTCTCGTTGCGGTTACATGTCTTAATGTTAATGTATAATTTTAAATAGTACGACCACTAAGATGAACAAATACTTGTCAGTTTATTGGTTATTTGTGTGTTTGTATATTTTGTGGTCGACGTGGATGCATTTATCTCAAAGCAAAAAAATTTTTGGATTTCAGCAGCTAATAAATTGTTGGGCAGAAGGAAAGTTAGTTTTAATGTGAAAAATGATATAGAGAAAATTTGGATGCTATGAGAAGACGGTTGTTTCAAGTACCATGATGATGTCACAGGTATTCAGTGTTTGACAACGCTTCTACCAGTAACACCTTCTAATATATTTCGTTCCCGCCCAGAGAAATCAAAAGACAGAGTCGAGGAGATCGGAAGAGTATATTTGGCGATGACCAATATATCGGAATTCTCTGATCTAATCTGGCTAGCGATTGCGGTTGATGTTGAGCACGGCGTTACCACACGTGATCTGGTGCGGATGCCTGACCGAGCGCCTTCAGCTAGGTGAGTCCACTAAAACATATGGTCAGCATCCAATGTCGAAAACTTAGTGCTATTTATTTTGGGGATTTATTTACCGCTACAGATCACTCCCCCCCCCTAGTGGGGCAGTGACGACCCTAAGACGTGGCCAGCCAGAAGTTTAAACCCAACGAGTTTGTCGTTGGTAAACACTCTTCTGATAGCTTACTAAATTTAGCAGCGTCTGGTCGTCTTTCCTTACTATATGGGACGGAGGTACAACATAGTAAAAAAAGAAAATGTACATGGAAAATTTCGGATCCTCATAAACGTCATCGTTCTTTTCCAGCCGTCCTGGAAAAGAAAAAAAATGTAAGTGCATGTCGAAAATACACTCGTATGTGCGTAAAAGCACAATGTCGGCGGAAAAAAAATGGAAAATAAACTCATGAACACGTAATAGCGTTAAAAAAATTGTTTTTTTGTTTTGTTTTTTTTTTAAATAGAAATAAAAATATATAAGCATATTAAAATTGTTTTTTTTTAAAAAAAATAATATAAAATGTCGAGAAGTGCCTTACGTGCAATAGTCGTTTAGATGTTCTGGAAATCTCACCCTTCTTCCAGAACGCGTCGTTTTAAGTTTATTTTCGGATACTGTCGAAGTATCATCGTGTGTGTTGGTTGTCGGATGAGGTATTATAAGTGTCGGAGTCGTGTAGTTCGATTGTACCGAAGGAAAATCCACGTAGATAGGATTTCCTTCTAAATACGCTGCTTTTAAGCGATCGATACTGATGCTATCGTTGGTTCCGTTCTTATCGACTATATAGTACTTAGATTCACGTTGAAGAACTTTGAAGGGTCCTTCGTATGCTGATTCGAAGGGTCGTCGATGCGAGTCTCGACGAACGAAAACGTGTGTACCATATCGTAAGTCAGGTTGAACGAAAACATCAGTTGATTGAGGTCGAGTGGAAGCAGGTTTAACTGAACGCATTGCGTTTGTAAGCCTGTTCGTGTAGGAGGTTAGATCCATGTTCATTGAAGAGGATGAAGGATCCACGAATTCTCCTGGAAGTCGAAGTGTCGTTCCATAAACAAGTTGAGCCGCAGTGTATCCAATGTCAGCTTTCACTGCATTGCGGATACCTAGTAAGACGAGTGGAAGAGCGTCGGTCCACTGTGAAACGTTTGCAGCTGATAGCGAAGCTTTCAGTTGTCGGTGAAAACGTTCTACCAACCCGTTTGCTTGTGGATGGTAGGCGGTCGTTCTGAAGCGAGTGATTCCTAAAAGAGTGGTCAGACGACGGAAAAGATCAGATTCAAACTGACGTCCGCGGTCTGTAGTGATAGTTGAAGGGCAGCCGAAGTTTGCTACCCATCGTTCGACGAAGGTGCGGGCCACTGTTTCAGCAGTGATGTCCTTGATAGGTACTGCTTCTGGCCATCGAGTGAAACGGTCTACGCAGGTTAAGAGATAAGAGTATCCATTTGAATCTGGTAAAGGTCCTACCAAATCCAGATGAACATGGTCGAAACGAGCATCGGGAGTTTTAAACGAGCCTAAGGGACATTTATTGTGTCTGATAACCTTAGATTTTTGGCAGCTTACACAGGAGCGTGCCCACTCCCTCACGTCTTTATTCATTCCAGGCCAGCAAAACCTTTCTGCTATAAGCTTGATTGTTGCACGAACACCTGGATGCGAAAGTTTGTGCAATGTGTTGAAGACATTGCGTCGATAATGTTTCGGTACGATTGGGCGATCCCTACCTGTAGATGTGTCACAAAGTAAGGTTTCCTTACCTGTTCCCATCTGTTTGATGCGTAGTTTAAGTGTTGTGGACGATAACTCGTGCTGAAGATCAGTGTCTTCTTTTTGAAGCTCGGCGAGTTTAAGAAGGTCGATTCCTTGGAAACTGTTCAAGGAAGTTATGCGAGATAAAGAGTCTGCAACTACATTGTTTGCTCCAGAGATGTGTTGAATATCTGAAGTAAACTGCGAAATGTAGTCCAGTTGTCGAGACTCACGTGGAGAGTACTTGTCAGGAGGAGAGCTTAACGAGAAAGTGAGCGGTTTATGGTCAGTGAAAAGAGTGAATTCACGACCTTCGATGTAGTGCTGGAAATGCCGTACAGCACAATACATAGCTAGGAGTTCCCTACCGAATGTGCTGTACCTCGATTCGGTGTCTAGCAACCTTCTAGAGAAAAATGCCAAGGGTTGCCAGGACTTGTTAACCCATTGTTGTAAGACTCCTCCGATTGCCGAGTCGGATGCGTCTACTGCGATGCTAATGGGTGCTCGGGTGTCCTGATGTGCGAGCATCGTTGCTTTAGCAATCAGTTCCTTAACTGTGGAGAATGCTTTTCGTGCGGTGTCGTCCAAATTAATGGATTTCGCATTTCCACGAAGTTGGTCGGTCAGAGGTTTCATAAGTAATGCGCATTTTGGTATGAAACGTCTATAGAAACTTACGAGGCCGTTAAACGTGCGTAATTGCTTGACGGTGGTCGGTTCTGGGTAATCCAGAATGGCCGCCACTTTGGTCCTAAGAGGTCGAATGCCTTGAGCATCGATAGTGTGTCCTAGGAAGTCTAACGAGTCGGTTCCGAATTGGCATTTCTGAACGTTTACAGTTATGCCATGTTTTTGAAGTCGTTCGAAAACAAGATCCAGATGTTCGAGATGTGTTTCTCTGTCCGGACTTGCGATTAGACAGTCGTCAACATACGCGTGTACGAAATTGAGACCTCGAAAAACGTCGTCTATGAATCTTTGGAATGTTTGAGCGGCATTCCTTAGACCGAAAGGCATTCGCAAAAATTCATAGAGTCCGAAAGGAGTTATGATAGCTGTTTTCGGTATGTCATCAGTAGCCATAGGGATTTGGTTATACGCTTTAACCAAGTCGATTTTCGAAAAGTCAGTTGTACCTTTCAAGGTAGCTGTCAAATCGTGAATGTGAGGCAACGGGTAACGATCAGGAATGGTTTTCGCGTTCAATCGCCGATAGTCACCAGTTGGACGCCAATCGTTGCTGTCCTTTTTAGGGACCATGTGCAACGGAGATGCATATGGGCTACTTGACGGTCGTATGATTCCTAAGTCCATCATGTGATCGAATTCGTTTTTCGCTAACCTTAGCTTTTCAGGAGCTAGTCGTCGTGCTTTAGAGAATACAGGTGGTCCTGTAGTC